TACTACTAGCTTCTTGTTACTACTAGTAAGGCACTTGTTACGAACGAAGCGATGCACTTGTTACTACTAGCTTCTTTTTACTACTAGTAAGGCACTTGTTACTACTAGCGTGGCACTTGTTTCTATAGACTAATTATATGTACCATTCTTGCCTCACACCATGAGTGGCTTGAGCGACCATCCATCACTCATCAATCACTTTTTGTTCCGTCTCGGACTGAGTGGCTTTGTTCCGTCTGTTCTGTTCAGAGCGCAATCGCAGGACCCAGTGCTCGTGCGAGAATCTCGGCAAGGGCCTCACTCATGCGTTCTTCCTCACGTTTCCAGATGAGGCCGACCATCGGGACCCAGTCGACGGGAACTCGGTTCGTGCGTTCGTCGCGCGTAGGCGGCTCGTGACCAGTACCTGGTGCATCCGGTTCATGAGGAGAGGAACTTCCGGCTCCGTAAGGCTCTGGGAAAACTTGGTGTGTGGCACAATTTCCAAAATGGCAAACTGTATATTAAGACCTTTGCATCCTTTACTTTGTTGTTTGCATTGGCGATGGCCTCCAACAGAATGGCGAAGAATAGGCCTTTCTTCCCTCACGGACCTGACGCGGACGTTCTCTCGGGCACGTTCCTCGTCGCAGGAGTTTGTGGCCACTCATAAGAAGCGGCTTCAAGACTTGTGTGTCTTCGACTATGCGGCCAAGTTCTTAGAAGATCTTAGAAGCCCCCCTAGTGCGTTTGTAGCTGCCAGATGAGCACGGAACTATCTATAAGAGCGACAGAGTGTCCGCGGACCTAGGTGGGATATCACCAAGGAGCTTTATGAGCCTCCATGAGATGCCATCAGAAGCTTAAGCTTCTTTGTTCCAGGGCTGTTGTAGCAGAATGCGGGCACGTAGCCAAGAAGTCCCTACGCTTCAACGGTGCGTTGCTGACCAGTTTGACTCAGTTTCTGGAAGAGCGTGTGGGCAAAATACCGAAAGAAGGGACGCCGAAGGGACCCGGAGACGGACTGGCAGTGGAACCTCCCAAGAGTTGTGCGAAGCTTGCACGAAAGCATGCCCAAGTTGCTGGGCAAATTTGACAGTTGGAAATCGTCCATTTGGCGTCTTGCATTCACACACTGCACATGGTTTTGGACCAGTTCCAATTGAGCTTTTTGTCTCATCCACTGAGTAGGTGTTGGGCAAGCGTCGGCACCCCACCCCACCGACTTGCTTCGTGCCAACTCCATGGACCGAGCGTCACACTCCTCTTCCAGGTTCAGCTCTCTTTGCGATCGCCTTTGTGAAGGTGGGGAGCACCGTCCAAGCCGCGGAACCGTCGAAGTCTTCGACTCGTGGAACCTGAAATCTTCACCGGGGCGAAATCTGCTAAGGGTTTTACACGACAAAACCAGATCAATAGTAGTAACAATAAGCTACTAGGAACAGGTGCATCGCTTCGTTCGTAACAAGTGCCTTACTAGTATCATTTTAAATGGTCGACTTGACTTCGGTCTGGGTGAAACTCTTCGTCGCTGACGGCCGAAAACGCCAGGACCACGGGAGCAGGTCTTTGAAGTGCTCGAAAGGCGCGACGGAGAGGAACGACGACCTCTAGCTCTCGTGAACGACGGGTCAGCCGCTTTGGGCGCTTTCCCCCACCGGAATGGGGGAAGAATTGCAATTGTAAGCCAGGAGCAACCCAACCCTAGAAAAAAAGACGACCTTTTTCCGAAAACCCATGTTTTGGCACGACGAAAACCCAGTTTTCAGTGAAACACTTGGTTTCTCATGTTCAGAACCTGTGCAAAATCCATAATTTGTCCGTAAAAGCATGTCTTTTGTGAATTGTTTTTGAGAAACCCGGTTTTAGTTGCAAAAACCGAGTCTGTTTTTTGACACTACATTTTTCTAGGTTTTGGATGGTCTTGGTGCATGTATGTATATCTTGGTTTCTCTGGGCATATTCCACGTGGTCCGGTTTGGCCAGAATCTCAATACGATTCGGCAGCCCCAAGCGCTTAAGGCAGCCTCAGAATGCTTCTATGTCGCACCATGTGTGACGCAATGTAGGAACGCCCATGGGACCGGGACCGGGTCGAACCGGACTTCGATGGCCATAGGCAGCCCACCTACAACGGCAGCTTCGATGACCTTTTGGAGGCAGATGATTTGGTGCCTTGGACCCAACCCTCCACGGACCGGGCGTGGCAGGAGAAAACGGGTCCGACTGGCTGGGTCCGACCGAGAAAGTACAACAAGACGAGATCGAAGGTCCGACGTTCGAGCGTGGATCAGCAGTTGGCGGGAATCCTTTCAACTCCCATACAGAACTCCAGGAAAAGGACACATTTAGCATTTGATCATTGACAGATTCGATCTGAAAATAGGTCACTCCCAGCTCCCCGACGTCCGTCCCGTCGTTCCTCGTCGTTTCTCGGCAATCCGAGGTGGTGGTCAACTGACGCCTCCGTCGGTCGAACCGGGAGCCGGTGACCGAGCTTAGAGGCGAACAGAGGCGTCGCGCCTCTGACTGTTACGTGATCTGACGGCTCGGGAATTCAGTGTTTTGGAAGCTGAGTGAGGTCTGAACATCTCGAAGAATGAAGCTACTCATTTGTATCAAGGGCATTACTACTATACATATATATATTTCTTATAGTACGTAACAAGAAGCTAATGGTAACATGACAAGGGCATCGAAGATTTTTGATCGCTCAAGAGATCGGAAGGATCCAGTGCAGCGGGCACGCGTTTCGCCCGTCCCGCTGTCGTTGGGAGATGTTCAGGCTTCACGAAAGAGGCGTGTTGGGTTTTTCGGCGAGTCCGGCTGCAGGTTAGTGCCGTGATGCGTCGAAGGCAGTTGGTGATGCCGGACGAGAGCTTCCGAGAGGAAGAAAAAGAGTTTGGAATCAACCATCACAGTTTGAGAAGCCCCCCCTGCAGGGAAGAAAGGACCATATAGGGACGTACTCACGTTGACTGTGCATCTCAACAGTTCGAGTCTTTCATCTTGCCTGAACGGCAAGGCTGTAGAGCCTTTGTACATAGCACGGCTGTTGGGTGCCCAGTCCGAATCTCGAAGATTCGAGTCTCACAACCGGAACAGGAACACCACCACCACGTACAGCAAGAACTAAGAACAGCACAAAGACTCCAAGTTTGCGAAGACTGAACTTCGTTCCCGACACAAAGCATGCTCAGATTGCACGGCACCAGACCCCTCCGCGAGGGAGGGAATGGTATCGATGTGACCCGCTGAACGGAAAATGACCCGCCAAATCGACCAGGTATTTGAGGTGTTTGTGAAGTGATCGCTTTAGAGGATCCTCTAAGGCGCTTTTGAAGAGCTTTGTTTCCGAAAGGCAGTTTGGGTTTCAACTGCCTGGGCTGAACCTGAAGGCGTTTCAGACCCGTTGGACCGCTTCGTCTGATTTCACCGTTCGTGTGTTCCGCTTGGGCTCAAGCTCGGCATGTCCTGCTTCAGGTGGTCGCGGACAAGGCTGGAGATGACAGATGACATGAGACCAATAAGTCTCTCTGCCCTTTTTTTCTCCTGTGATGTTCTTCAGGAAACCATGGAGAACCCCATCGCCGCGCAGGCGAGACGAGACGCCACGACTCGCCACACCCGCTGTTCGAGACGCCGGGTGTTTCGGCGAAGCGGTGAACGGCGTCCGAGGCGGCCCGGGTTCGCCGGGTCTTGGTTTTATGCGTCACGGCCTCGGGTCTCTTCGCTTTCACGCTCGGATGCGGAGGGCCGAAGCTGATCCCAAGGTGCTGCCATCCATAGCCTTGGAGGTGGAGCCAGAGCGAAGGCGTCATGAGCCATGACCTGTTTGCGTTGGCGACCGAGTGGTGGAAGTTGTGTTTTTTTTTCCAGGTGGCGAGAGCAATGCATCATACCCGACATGACCACAGAGGTCGAATGCGTCAGTCGATGTGTCACATCTTGTCAGTCGATGTGTCACATCAGGTCAGTGCAGCTGAATGCATTGATAATGTTTATGGTTTAGCATGCTAAAAAGGCGTTCGCCCCAGGAGATGCTCTTCATCCGCAAGATGAACTGTGCTGAGGCCATGCCACCCTAGATCTTTCAACTGTGCCATGATGCCCTGACTTTGGCTTAGTTTTTGGAACAGCCGGCCAAAACGGAAGACCCGGGGTCGCCAGGTGCAGAATTCCATCCTGGCCTTTGAGAGCCAAGAGTGGCCCTGCCGTGGTGGAGACAAACACTGGAGCCTCGGTCGGGTGCAGTCGGGTCGGGTGTCGGGTGACCATTTGCATGACCAACACGTCGTAACCACCGAGGGAGTCGTCGCGAGTGTCCGCCGTTCGACGCGATGCCCTTGTGACGTTCGTAGCTTCCTTCTTGCTCCTAGTAGCGATGCCAGGAGCCCCTAGTAGCTTCTAGCAGTGATGCCATTTGCTCCTAATAGCTTCTTTATGCTTCTTTGCTTCTAGCAGCGATGCCCTTTGTTACTAGTCCACGAGACAAAAGAACATACTTTGCGCTTGAAAAAAGCTGGCACAGTCATTGTTCGTGGACTTTGGCAGTCGAGCCGCGCGATTCTGTCATTTGTTTTGTGGAGTCTGTGAAGGTCCGGGATTTGGGATTTGGGGTTGTTGGGTCGCATGCACTCAGGATGATGGACTGTCTGCGAAATCTCACACGTAGAGAAGGTCCACGCCGCCCACGCAGAAGACGAAGCTGCAGATTTCATGCAGTGAACAGGATTGGAGTTTTTGCTCAGAAAAGACCTCAAGCTGTTGCATTTTTGCTCACAGGGTTTCTTGCGCCAAGAAACACCAATTGGAGTTTTCCCACGGGGGCGCGAAGATACGAAGCAACACCTGCACAGTGCGTCCTCCTTCAGCATCAGCCAATCGCGACCCTGGCGGTTTTCCAACGCGACCGGCCATGGAATGGGCTCAGGGCCATGGGCAGAGGCCCAGGCTCACGCCTAGACGGCGTGGAGACCAGTCTTGGGCGCTACCGGAGGCTTCTGGTGAGATGTTCCCTGGACTGGGAGCGTGTCGAAATCGAGGGGTTGGACTTGCGGACATGCAGGGTAGTAAGATCTATAATATTTATGTTATGTCTAATATATATTATAATACATATATAATATATATATATATATTAGTATTATGTATTATATGCATCACATCCACACATATGCAGGACACATATGCAGATATTGTCATTATATGTGCATTTGCAAAATGGAAGTGCTTGAATTCTCTTCCGACTAAGGTTCGAAAACGGGGCAGTGGCAATTGTCAATCTCATCTCTGGACGAGATGCCGGTGTCGGCTGATGGCTTTTGCAGCTTCGATCGAAGTGATAGGGTGTGCGGCAGGCGGAGCGCAGTGGGCTGAGCTCAACAATTTGAATCATTCTTTCGGGAGGTCCATCGTAATCAGCTCACTGGATGCAAGATGCTGGAAGTCACAATGCCACTCTATAATAGCTCCTGTTTCACGGGAAGCTTGGGCTAAAGAGTAACTATCACCCTTCGCTGGTGCGGCCTAGGCTTCAATACTGCAGTTGCCGCCTGCAAAACTTCTTGGAGGAGTGGGCTGAGTGCACTGAACGGCGACAGAGATGGCATTACTTGATGTCTTGAAAGCATTCGCCTGTTCCGTCTGCTTCTTTCAACGGACCATTCCTTGAAACCAAGGGTGTTTTCTTGGAGCTTAGTTGGATGGTTCCGCCTGAGACACGAATTTCCCCTTTCCGAATTAGTCCTTCCAAATCATTATTGGATATTATTCGATATGGCTTCATCATTTGGCATCATTTGGTAGTTTCTGTGGCTTCCCTACTGTGACATTTTTCACGCATTCGAGCACTGGCTGGCATGGCTTTTGTCCATTGAGTTTGATGTTTGTTGTTTTTTGACGGTTTTGGTCCAATCTGCAGTCCCCGCACATTTGGCCGGGGCGACGACGGATCTTTTCCGGCGAGGAGGACAAAGAAAAACCGTAGGAGGCGATTCATGTTTCTCCCTTCGAAGACGATTCTTCTCCTTTACATTCATTTTCCATCGATTCCGTTCAAGGTTCTTCCAACAAAAAGGGACTCATCCGTCCCCTTTTTTTGGCCACCCGGATCCACCGCGAGCTGGCCTGGGCCGGCCTCTCGTTCGCAGGGCCATGTTGGGGCTCATGCTGCGTCCCGCGGCGCAACCTGACACGGTGCCTTGGGTGCGATCGGGAATGGTGTGACCGTGGGACACCAGGACGGATGCCGAGGGATTCCGGGTTTGGCGCTCGACAGGTTCGAGCCTTTTGAGCCGTGTGAAGCGCCAAACGCCCCATCGACGGTGATGGTTTCACCCAGCAATGGTTCGAATGGGGATTGAGAGACCTCAGCGCATGAGGTCAGCTTAAATGTGGCCATGATGTCCTGTGACCGAGCGGACCAGTGGCTCTTGGCGATGCTTTTGCTTCAGGACGGTGGAACCGGCATCAACCAGTTCCTGCAGTCGGTTCGGCTCTTGCGGTCTATTTCTTGTCCTTGTTCTTTGCCAACCTCGGTGTTGTGTACTGCACCTATCATGTCAAAGCAACTCTCCCAAGTGAGGGTATGATGCCTATGAATGCTTAAGAGCTTATGCGGTGGTCTTTAGGCACTCATAGTGGTACTGCAGCTCGTCGTTAGCAGCTGATGGTTCTCTGCTGAGTTCAGGAAGTTCGCACTGTGCAGCCAGATGCCATCACCGTGACTGCCGCCGTGCAGGACGCGGAAGAAATGCTGGAGATACTGTCTATATACCCTGAGCATCTGAACCCTACAAATTTGTCGGGTTTGAAAACAAACCTCGGGTTTAGCCGTGACATAAGGGAAAACCTCGGGTTTTTAACCAAATCCTCGTGTTTTGCCCAAAACCCTCGATAGCCATGTGCAGGTGCTCCATATGCATTTTCTCCCGCCGACTTATCAAATTTTCCGTGGCTAAAACATTGTTCACAATATGTTAAAAACATTCAACACTCTTGTCAGGAAAAGTTCGGGTCCGTTATTGAGAGCTCCGATAACCCGTGACAAACCCGTGACAAACCCGTGACAAACCCGTGATTATCCCGTGTCAACCCGTGTTTTTTTTCACGGGTTTTAGGGTGGTACAATAGTTGCATTATTGGTTGAGATTTTTTTCGTTCTGATCATCAACCTGGTCTTTTTGAGTTTGAATTCAAGTTCCTGTGGCCCGGCCTTCGAAGATGGCATGGGCGGAAAAAACACACCAAAATGGGAAACCTCGTGTTTCCTCCAAGAACCTCGTGTTTTGGGATGAGCCCTACGTTTTTGTCGTGTTTGGAGGCACAAGGTATATATAGATCTGTATATATGTACATATACAGTACACATGCTGTCTCTTGTTGTTGTTGTTGCTAAATGCTGCAGATCAACAATGTTGATGCTTTCTTTTCATAACAAAAGGGAGACCTTCCCACCGGCATGTCCCTCTCAATACGACCCACACTCTCGGCCGAACAGCCGCAGGCTGCCAGCAAGAGCGGCCCAGCTTTGGCTCTCCAAGTCTTGCGTCGGTCAGGAGTGGAATTAGACCAGGCATACGCCATACGCGTTTTCTCGCCTTTCGTGACGGGGTTGAGAGGAAAAGCAACAATGGGTTTGTACATGGTTCTTTGGCACGGCTTGAGGATTTGAAGGACCTTTGGTTTCAAAGGGGTCCAGTATCCCGCAGAGTTTGGAAGACAATGTGCATGCTCTGAAGCTCAAGCCGACTATGAGTCACATGAGCCATATGCCATAGACCAATGAATGAAGTACATCACTGGGGTGCCTCTTGTTGTAGTGCTTTGAGGACAACATCTGATCTGGTCTCCATTGTGGAGCCCAAAGAGCAAGAAATCAGTAGAAATCCTAAAGACTTCTCCATTGGATGTACTACAGCAGATGTGCCTTCTTCAAGCCTTATTCTATCTATTCTGTGGTTCTGGAGGTCGCCGTGGGAGCAGCTGTGAATGCTTGCTCACAGCACAGCTGGTCTTGGGGCCTTGCCGCTTTGAGTACCTAGCTGGTGAAGCTGACCAGAGGTGATGTGGGGGTCGAGGTAAAAAAGTAGCGGAATGAGCGGAATGTTTGATGTCTTTGATATCGATTCAAATTTGAATGTGGAGATTTGATCCCAAGCTCTCTTGCAAGGCTAAACACCGAACACACACTGCCGTGAGCAATTCATAGGCTAGCCATGCTGGTTCTGTTTGCCTACCCACATTTTGTGGAGTCTTCTGCTGCTTAGTGGCTTTCGCTAGTGCTTTCGCTGCTTGCCATTCAACTCCTGATGTTTTTCCTAAGGTACCGCTGCGGCCTTGGCCCTCCAACATGGCATCTCTGCCCTCAATGCCGCGCCTCGGCAAGAAATCGGCGCACACAGGCCAGCCACTGTAGGGCTTGGCTAGGGCTTGGAAGGGCCGAAGAGCGATGGAGTCCTCCTACCAGAACACCGAGTGTTTCACAGGGTGAAAGTTGGGCAACGAACCTGCCAACCCGCCTTCACTTGGAGTCTTCGGTCGCGACATCGCTTTCCGTGTGGCGGGCGATAGCGGGTCTGCCACGCGACATGAGGCCATGAGCATCTCTCCCTGGAGACGTGCCCTGGAACTGCTCTCGCCGAGCACGAAGCCCTGCGGCGTGCGGCGCGACGGGGTGAGCTTCAATGCGGCGGCGGAAGGGCGTTTGCAGCTTGGGACCAGTGGAGTCGTTAGCAAGTGCATCGCTACTAGTGGCTAAGTGCATTACTAGTAGCAAATAGAAGCTATACTAGTAGTAATGGCCTCCAACCTAGTAGCTTCTAGCTGCTAGATTCTAGCTACTAGTACTAGTAGTAGAGTCTGTTCCTCGATTGGGCAAGAAGTCTTGACGCGGTCCGGACATTTCAAGTAGGAAGCCATCTCACCAGTGATTGTGGAGCATGGCCAATGGCTGTGTTGGTGAATTCCACTTTCACGTGAATGACTTGGAGGTAGTCAATTCCAACGAAGCTGTCGTTAACCATGGGTTTGGCGCCCTTGGTGTTTCCTAAGGAAAGACACCACAGCTGAAGCGCATTCGGCCTGGCGCCTCATCTGGGCTTTGATGGATGAGATGTCAGAACAGGCCTTGCAGACAGAGCCTGGGCGAAAGCAGTACAGCTATGCTATTGCTGATTGAGCCCGTCATTTCTTTGGGGCCCCGACCCGTGCGTTCTCACTTCAAGGGGTTTCTGTTTTCACCCCCACGTCCGCTACAGGATGTGATCAGCTTCGATGCCGCCATGACCGCAGACCGCCGCTGGGAACACCTCGTGCCCCGGCATTTTCCGACCCGTTTCGGTGCGGGAGAAGACGTGCGCCGCGTCGGAGGGGTTCCCTCCGGATCTGCGAATCCCCCCGCAGCTCGGGTCGTGAAGGCGGAGGTCTGGAGAAGCGTGGCGCTGGCAGATCTGAAGACTGATGTCAAGCTGCACAGTCACCTCATCGAGGCGAGGGAGTCGTCGGATCCTGTCAGACGAGGGAGTTGTTGAGGTAGAAGAGGTAGAGACGAGAAGGGTTGAAGACTCCCCTCCCTTTGGATCCAGAATGGTTTGAGGTTTTACACCTCGAAAGGGGTGGTTGATGGATCAGTCTAAACAGTCTACTGTGTGAGAGGCATTTGGGATTGGAGACACACCCGCCAGGAAGGAACGGGAGGTGATTGGCAGCGGATGGTGGAACAAATGCACTTTGGAAGCATCTGAGCTTGTCCCACATGAGCCAAAAACACCACTTTTCAAAACACAGGCAGCGGATGCACTCCTCCGCTGTCCTCCCAGATCAAGTCTGGCGTGGAAATGTCAGACGCTCAGGAAGCCCAAAAGACTGAATCAGAAACTCGTCTCGTCCGTCCGCATTGGGGCGTTTGCTCAGCTGTCGTGTTGCCGTGTCAGCCTTCCAGGCCATCAGCAGTTGTCGTGCCGATTGGACTGTTGCCCTGTCTGTGGCGGCGCGTGCGACGGGCCTGGCCGGTCCCACTCTGAACGCCCGGTGCCTGGCCCCCTTGCTCGATGCCTGTGCTTCCAGCGGAGCTTGGGAGGCAGCCGTGGCGCTGCTTCAAGGATGCAGCGTAAGCATGTGCGTCAGCGTCGAGGTTTCAAGGCTGATTTCTTGACGCCCTTAGGGCCTAAAGCCACATAAAGAAGCTAATATGGACGGATTTGTGTGGCCTTCTGCTTGGACTCTTTGTGTGACATTCCTTGAATGCCTTTGACGCTCCTGAATGCTTTTGGTAGCATCTTCCCGGTGGAGGAGCTCTCCAAGAACATGCAGATGTCGACACCTTCTGCTACAACACATTGATGACCGCCACTCGGTCGTGTCCGAATTGGCGCGCCTACCGCACTGCGCTTGTTTTGACGCACTCGAGAGAGAGTGCCGCGGGTGGCTGGGTGAGGCGGGTTTGAGGCGGGTCGCGGCGGAAGAACATGTGGGGGTCGCGGGTCTCTCAGATCTGTCTTAACACCGGAGACCAAAAACGGTGCGCTTCGAGAGAGGCGACCTGTGCTGAGCGAAGGAGTGCGGAGCTCGCGGCCGTCGGGTCGAGGTCTTGTCCAAAGCGTCGCAGTGGCGCTGGGCACTGGACGTCTTCAGCCAACGTGCTGCGCGGAACCTGGTGAGCTTCAATGCCGCGCTGGACTGGGAAGACATAAACACCCTACGAGTCAAAGACCTCATTGTGCTGGGGCTGGTCATGCCAAAACAATACTCAAAGAGGCACCAGGTTTTACTGGGTCAGACAGACTGGACTTGTAGGGACAGAAAGGGGCCACACCTAACAGCTTGGATTCGAGGAGGCGTGCCGCGTGGGTGGCTCGTGGCCCAGTGCCCTGCAGCTCTTGCAGACCATGCAGCATTGTCGGCTACGAGGAGACGTGGTGCCTTGGTGCAGATTTCATCTGAGTTCGGCTCCAAAGTCGTGCCATTTCAGCCGACAGTGACTCACGCGATCCCGCTGAGATCAGCCATGCTGCAGTGGTGAGCGTGTGTGAGCGAGCGAGGCAGTGGCCTGTGACTTAGCCTCGATCCGACACGTCGGGTCGACGTATCTCGACGTCGCCGACGTAGCACACCTCGGGCACCGAGGGAGCCGACCTTGCGGTCTTTACATGCGCTGCCGGCTGGACCTTGGGATGAGACGATCGCTCGGCTGGTGGCTCGATGGGACGCATGGCGCGGGTGTTCGTGGTCGGATCTCTCTCTCTCTCTCACAGTCCCCGTCGTGTTCCATATAGTATATTCCAAGACAATAACAGAAAACATGCACTTGCAGGGTTTCAGCTCTCTCGAGAATGTAGATTCTCCCCGGACTTGCTTGCTCATTCGAATGGCAGAGCTTTCTGAAAACCGCTGTTTTTTGAAGGGGGGCAAGGCACTTCTACTGAGCTAAGGCTCAGTTGTGGCAAGTTTGAGGCGAACCCGAACTGACCGCGGGGGCAGTGTGGAACCCTTAGAACCCGCTGAATCGACCTGAGCCGTTTCTCCGCATCCCGTGGTTTACCGAAGCCGGTGTCCCACCGCGTCCGATATGTTCCGCGGTGACGGTGATTGGAAGACATGCCGCTGAATACGATCACCATACATTCTTCTACAGATATTCTTTCTCAACAGACATGTCTTGCACATTTTTGGCAGCATGCGGCTCAAGTAGCAAAAGATGGTCGTCGACGTGCCAGAGGAGCTCAACCAGTTGATTGAGTGGTGCTCCTTCTTGTTGTTGATTCAGTTGATTCTTTTAGAACACATGATGTCCATGACTCTTTCCGCTTCCACGACGCATGAATGGCATGTCTGCCCTGCCGAGTCTGGAGGAAGTGCAGTGGGCTTTGGCGCGGCCGTTGCCGCATCCGTGCCCTCGGAAGTTGCATCATCCTGGGGAGGGCTGTGGTTGTGCACGTCGCCTGGACCTTCTGGTCGAGCACTTAGCTGCCTTGAAGCCGGGAGAATCATGTTGTTTTTCATGCCCCAGACTCAGAAGATTGGAACCATCTTTAACGAAAGATTGGAACCATTTTTAAGATTGGAACCTTTTCTTGAGATTTTTGATTCATCCTCCCCTCTCGCCTTCGCAGGTGCCCCATGGCCATTCGAGGATGGCCGACCGTGGCTCTGTCCACAGCGCCCGACTCCAGAACTTGCGCTGGCCGAAGACTCAGCGTGACGCGGCCCGTCGGCCTCGGCGGGACGACGTCGGGAGGCGCCTCGTGGCGCCCGGAACGACCGAGGCGCCTGACGTCCCCGGCGCTGCGGCGCAGGTTTCCGAGCTCGGAGAAAGTGAGGCGAGAAGAGCTCAGACAGCGAAAGGGTTGAAAGATGTTGAAAGGAAACAGGACTGAGCAGGGAGAGATGGAGTGATACTCATCACTGCTTCTGGATCTTCTGGATTGGTCAACTGGGCCTTTGCCGCCGCAGCATTCGAACTCCGAGTTGTCATCTTAGAGCATTCCAAAGTCATGTTGCGACAGGAATTCCTTGCCACTTTGTCTTCGAGCTTTAGCAGTGGATCACAAGGGAGATGCAGCAGCTCAGATACAGAGCTTGGGCATGGCGGAAAACTCGAGCGACGTCTGAAACCCGAACGAAGAACCACCCCCCTTGGTTTTGTGTTGTTTTTGTTTTGGGGAGACCTGCCACCATGGCTTCTATAGGTCCCATTTGTATCCGAGGCCTGCAAGACCTTGCGGCCACTCTCACCGGATCGCAAGCTCCGCCGCAGCGTCATGTCCGGAGCGAAGCGCGTGCAGCTCGGCCGTACCAACCCGTGCGACAGAGCGAGCGGAGCTTTGTTCCGTTGGCCACGAAACGGACGCCGCCGGTGGAGGTCAAACCTCCCCGAGCCTCTTTGAATTGGGTCATCCGATTTGGAGTCAGAACCGGCGAGAGGCGCCTGTCTCGCTGGATTTCGAGGTCCAGTCCAGATTGCTGTTATGCTACGCCGCAGAGGGAGGAGTCACCCGAGGCGTTCGAAACCATCGGGAGCGCGTCGTCGTTTCTTCGGCTAAGTTTCAAGCGCTTGAAGGCGAAGTTGAGCGAACGAGAGGAGAAAGGAGTGGAGCATCACTTTTTCAGCTAATTTGGCGATGCTTGGATCATTTTGGGGGTCCTAGTCATCCAGAAGGGAGACCAACGAGACGATCGGGCCGGACCTCTGAGCCTCGTTCCGTGGCGCCACTTCGACGGAGGTGATCGACTTCGACCCGCCGTCCACGAGCAAAGCGCCGCGGCCGCCGCGCGTCACCTTCAATGAGGAGTTGAATTCCGTGGTGCCCGTGATCGCCGCACGAGCGGTTTGGTGGCACCGCGGACGTGCCGCAGGTTTTTGTTTTCAGAAGTAGTTGGCATAGACCCCATGATGTCCTTTAGATGGGTGTCCATTTAAAACATATGTCTTCTGTCTGTGCCGGCGCAGTGGGGCGCAGTGCACACAGAGTGCGTACGTGCGGTTGTTGTGCGGTTCGTCGTCTCCGAACGGACAGGAACGAGATCGGTCGAAGTCCGATTCCAACTGGGACGAAAGACGGAGAGGAAGAACAACACGAGAGGTTTCACCAATTCGGTGGTGTTTTGCGGGCGGTTTTTTTTTCCTTTTTGTGGTGGGTGGTGCGAAAACAGAAAGAGTGTGGATCCCTCTCCCAGTTTTGCCAAGGAGAAGGGCAACCTGAAGCCGGTCCAAACGGATGGCAGCGTTGACATCACCGGGAGGAGGGCCAAAAGATTCGATTTTTTCCTCTAGTCGTGGTCAAGACGCCAAACATGGAGAAAAGGACACGTTTCCAGGTGTGTATTGGTTTTTCAGAGGCGCACCAATAGCGAAGCAACAAGTCAATGCATATTTGTCGGACCAGTGGGTTGACGCACTGGCTTCTCAAAAGATCACATCCAGACATCATGAGCTGCATATAACTATTTAGATATGGGTCGTGATATGGGTTTTATAGGTGTGTCTCTATATATATATATATATGGACAGATATACGCAACACAACAGACATTAGTTGTATACATGCACACCATTCATCATCACGCGCTGAGACAGCTCTTGAAAACAGCGGTGCGTGCGCCACGGCGTTTCAAGAAGACTCGCCCAACAAAAACGGGGAGGACAGAGATGCTCGCCCGGAAAAACTTGCGGGCCATGAGTGAAAACCATCGATGCTCGACCGCAGTTAACGGCCAAACGGAAGCACCCCTGAAAACCACGGGCGCCCAGACGGGTGGCTGGCAAGAGTTATCACCATGATGCCGTTTCTACGGATTGTGACTTCTTTTTTGGGGTGCTGGATGGTGCTGAGCTTTTCCGTGCTGTGGTTGCCCAAGGAGTCATCCTCAAACGGTGCGAAAAGTGCTTTGACTTCTTGCAATCGCTCTCCTCGCTCTGGTCGCTGAAGAGAGTTTGCGACTCGAAGTTGCAGTTGCCTTTGCAACTGCATTGAGCCCGCAACGAACGCAACGGAAAAGAACACCGGCCTTCGACACGTGCATTCTTCGTAAATGTCGACATGTTGTAATTCTTATGAGGATGGTGCTCGTAAACCTTGTGACATCCCTCCTGGCGCCAGCGCGGCGCTGCCCAAGAACAAAGTGTTCCGTGAATGTTCTCGTTGCGGGCTGTTATGGTGAAACAGTCATCTACGATGTCTGTAGCCCTGGCAGTCATACAAGACGTGGGGCAAACGCGGCTGTGGATCAAACTCCTGCACCTTTCGTTTTGCCCTCAAGACACATGTCTTGCTCTTTTCAATTCTTGTCATGTTTCCTTGTTGACACGAACACGAACAGGGTCCTTTCACCACGCTAGGGAGCGAGCGACCCACAGCCACATCTTCCAACTTTGCCCAAGGCTGCGCACGAAGCTGAAATCATGTTTAGTTGGGTCCCAGGTCAATCTCGTACGGCGACATCGGCATTGACGTCGGTGAACACGGATGTTCTTGCTTCCTTTGTTTTGTCGTGCCAGAGACCAAACAGGACCCTTGACACCTGAAAACAGCGGCACAGTTAATCGAAAGAAGCATTTTGTGATGTGCTGTCCGGGGGCAGCACACTGCAGCTTGAGCCTTCTTGCATGCGGCACTGAACTCCTGCGACGGCAAGATTCATCAAATGTATCATCACTTGTGCGATTTTGGTGCTTTTTGAGTGACCAGCCGAGCGGCTTCACACGTCGCTGGTGGTCAATCGGGGTTCAGAATGTGCCCTGAAATCACGTGTGTCCGCCACACGCTGCCTTGGTTGGTGGGAGGCCTTCAGGATGTAGACGATTCAAGAGAGAGGTCTTGAGTCTGAATCTTCAACTCAAGTGACCAACATTGCTTTTCTGTGTCAACCATGTTCTTCCCAGATCGACCAAACCAAGTTTACGCTCAAAGGACTCGCTGTTGCCTCCTGCCTCGGTTTTTATGAGTGCACAGAAAACAACGGAGAAGGCCAGCTCCGTTTGTTCCGTTCTCCCAAATGAAGAGATCTTCAGGATCTTCAATACATTTTCGGAAGTCATTCATGTTTCATCATGTTTCTGGTTGGGGGAGCAGTTTGGGGTTTGGGTTCGTTCGTTCTATACAGCGTTCAAGTGAGGATTCCGCGGCGATCCTGTGTGTGATGTGTTTGTGAAGCCCAGTTGAGCTTTGCAACTGCCATTTGGAATCCAGCTTGGGTTTCTGGGTTCGGAAGTGATCATCGAGAACGCAACCTGGAAGTGGAATTGCCCTGTTGTGCGCAAGCCAACTGGGGTGCAGGGGAGCTAGGCTCTGACTCGAGATTTCTCGTCACCTTCTTCACAGTTCTTCTGAATTTGTAGCCACATTTTCCTCCTCTCCCCTGCCAAATACCTATATGATTTGTTTGATTTGGGGCACGGACCGGTCCGCGTCAGTGCCCCAGTTCTTCAGACCCTTTAGGCGCGAGACGATTCGGTCGTCTGCGAGCGCGTGGGCTATCTCTGAGCGCGTCGGGCTGGCGGAATGGGCGCCGAAACGAGGAGCCAAAAAGGAACGCCGAGGGCCGAGGGCCCAGCCTCTTAGGGGCAAAAGAATCATCTGGGCGAAGGTTCCACGATCACTGGACTGCTAGGTTTTTGGGATATCTGAAGATCCTGCAACTTCCACAAGGAAGCGCTCCAAGCCTTCTTGCACAAAATGCCAAGCCTCAGGTGACAAGCACCACCCGCCCAGGCCACCCTGCGTGCCGCGTCGACCTCGAGACCACTCGCGTCGAGCGCGATCACAGCGATCGGCACGTGCCGTGGTGCTGCCTGGCCACAGGCGAGGTCTGAGGGGTGTTGTGGACAAGGGGACGCCAAGAAACCGAGGAGGCGCTTTCTTTTGGGCGAAGCGCCCGGACCGATGTGGACGAAGACGAAGACTTCTGAATTCCTGACCGCCTCTGCACTGCACACTCGAGGTTTCTCGGTGTAGAACCCAGACATGTCACTCCAAAATGCCAATTCTGAAACACCGAGGCCTTGCAGATCTTACAGCTGCTCCTCGACCACAAGACCTACGGTCAGCAGAGTCAAATTCTTGTCAAAGGGTTCCTTTTCTTTCTCCGGCAGCATGCCGCTTTTGGGAACGCCACGTGCGTTTGACAGAAGACGTGACAGGTGCTGCGGCCTTTGCTTGCAGCAGCGCGGTGTGGGAGACTTCCCTGGCTTTGTTGGCTGGTGTCATGGAACTGGCCTCAGTGAAAACCACGGGTTTTCGACGTCAAACGCAGCGGAGTCGGGAGAATTTTTCGGATCTCCGGATGGCCGCAGAGGTGCGACGGATGGAAGTGGGTATTGAGATGAGAAATGCAGCCTTCATGGGTTGTGCTCCTTGGATTGTCCAACGCTATAGACATCGAGTCCGTTTCTGCAACCCGAATGTTGCGTTTCGAACGAAGGACTCGACCGTCGTTGGTCCCGTCTTCGGACCGCTTGGAGGCTGCCTTGGCCATGTGGCAGCATGCCATCGCTGGCCTTTCAGAGTCTCTTGGCCGCTCAGAGACCGACCAGACCGGTTGACCTTTGCGGACCTCAGAGACCCGTCGGAACGCGGAACATGGTGACACCCGGTGAAACAGGATGCTAAAGCACGAACTTCGGCTGCCACCCGGCTCGAGGGCTCCAATGGGTTGGGTCCGAGAGACGCCCTTCGTGGTCGCGCGAGGTTTCCGCCCTGAGGCCCAGTGTGGTGAGCTTCAACCTCCTGCTCAATGCGTGTGAGGCACGAAGCAAGTCTGACACGAAGCTAGGCCTGTAGGCCTCTAGCTATGGCTAGCTAACGAATACCGGATTCAATCTGATTCGGCTGAACGAAGCCTACAGCAAACCACTAGCGTCCATAGGCACAAGTCACGAAAGGTAGCTTGAGCTACCTGAGTTCTCCTTGCTTTAGCAAAAATGTATTACAATCAGGAGTTGGGATTGTGCATTGAATTTGGTCCTGTAAGAGTTGATTCTGTTCGTCGGGGGGGGGCCCCCCCCCTGGATCAAATCCCCCCTGCGCCGGTTCACGCCGTCATGGACTTTTACCAGGGTTGCTTGTGATTGCCTGCTACCTTTCGTTCACCCCCTCCTCTCTCAAGTCAATTTGTTTTTTCCTGTGGAGCCAAGGGGCGCAGGCGTGACCTCGGTGCTACACAGGTTTTTATCACCGGTTTTTGATTATTTTGATTCTGGTAGTTTGTTTTTTGGGCTTTGTTTTACACATGTGTCTCTAGTTACGTTACATTGCTCTCAGCGTTTCTTTTTCTTACATTGCTCTCAGCGTTTCTTTTTCTTTCCCCAGTGCAGGGGGCAGCGCAGTGGAAGCTGGCCATTGAGATCATGTGTTCCTGGGCAGCAAGAGGACTCTCTCCGACCACGGTGAGTCGAAGAGGAACTCTCTCCGATCTCCCCTTCTTCACCGTGGGCCGCTGCGGCTTGAACCGTGGGCGGTTTTCACAGCTTTTGCGCTTCAGCTCAGTCCTCACACTCAGCTCTCCGCAGCAGCGATGATATGCGATGATGCTGTATTATATGGCAGAATTCGACCTAATCGCAATAGGCCTCCAACCTAGTAGCGTCCTTGCTACTAGTAGAGATGCCCTTGAAGGCCCTTGCTACTAGTAGCGATAGGCCTCCAACCTGACCCGAGTGATGTCCCTGAGGCATGATGTCACTGACCCGGCTCAGACCGAGCGCCGCAAGCCTCTTGCCATGGAAGCGGTGTGGGCACTGCGTGGTCATGAGGTCCACCTGCGGTTTGGAGCTCCAGGTTTGGACCCACCTGCCAACTGGAAAATGGGAAAGAAGACACTGAAAAGACGTTCAGACATGAAGATGTCATGGTTTTCACCCTCCAACGGTGCTTGGATCAGGTCATCGAGCTCTTTGTGAAAGCTGCCGTGGCCATTGGCAGCATGCTTTGACCACACATCATGCGCCGGTGTGGGCGCACGAGAAAGGCGCAGCATGACTTTGAAGTTGAACTCCAGCCAACACCAGAAACCACTGACCCTGAAGAACACTGATGCGACCGTCGGCAACGTTTTTCAGAAACATGAGCGGCATTGGCAACCCGTCAAGGAACACTGAGGATCCCACACTTTTGAGGACCCGTTTTCATGGACCCCTTCCACCATGTTCACCACTGAAGATCCCAAGTGGGTGCCGAAACCAGACGGTTTGCCCTCGGCCCTCGGGCGGGCTTGCCGGTGGCCCACACCAGGTGGACAGCACCGCGTCGTGGCACAGATGCTGGAAGACATTCAGGAGGATGCGGTGAATTGGCAAGAACGAACGGCATTGATTCTGAACTTCATCGAATTTCGATCTTTCGTCCATTTCATGTTACGTTTCTGTCTTTTTTTTTTCTCTCTCTTGTTTCATGTTGATCTCTTCCCTTTCCCTTTTGATCCTCTTTGATCTTGTCATTTGCTCTCCCCGTCCGGGCCACCGGGCCTGAGCCGAGCGCGCCTTTGTCACCCAGGTCACCCGTTGGACCGGGCGACGCAAACGCGGCCAGTAGGCCTTTCGCCACGCCGGGGGGGGGCGAACCACACCACTTGTGGCTTCTTTGGAGTGAAGAACTGGTAGAGCTGGTAGGGCGACATGATCATTTTCAGATGTTCATTCATGTTTTCTCCCACATCTGGGCTCAACTCATCGCAGCTTCTGGGTTCAAATCAGAAGCGACGCGCAGATCGCTATCGCTGGGGAAGAGGCTTCGAGGCTTCGTTGGATGAGCTTTTTGCACGTCTCCTCGGCGCTGACGGGTGAGTTGATTCTTCGAAGTCCTCTACCCGAGGACGCGGATTGGCAGTATATCAAGGAAGAAATCCGTGCGGCCACGGGCGTGGCGCACTTCTGTCAGCAACTCCTCTTCCAGGAGCAGATCTTAGATGGAAGCACCTGGCTTCGCTTGGGTCGCCCCACTCAGCTCCAGGTGGCCTTCCAATCCCCCAGCGACCAGGCTTCGCAGCTGCTCCGGGCGGCCTCCGCGGGCGCCGCCGCGGACGTGGCGGCGCTGCTGCGGAGGTTCCAAGATCCCAACGCGGCCGATGAGTCCGGCGACACGACGCTGGTGAAGGCGTGTGGCGTGGTGTTCCCCGGTGGGACTGGGAGGGTGGATTGGTTTGGAGTTTTGGTAGAAAGAAGGACAGCAACGTCCCCTTGCCAATGCTTTCAGCCACGGTGCGCAGCGGATGCCGCATGCCTTATGCATCCTTATGCCTTCATTTGCACTCTGTGCTTACTCGTTCGGGGGGTTTTTTTCGACGAGGGAAGCAGGGGTGAACCTCAAATGGTCTTGTGACCAGCCAAATCCACCAAACCTCAGGTTCGGTATGACTGGACCCTCAACGAAGGATCCATAAGGGAATGTACATTCCTCACTCTATCCAGCCCTTCCCTGGAGGCCAGTGAAGGAGGACATGTGGAAGTCGTGCAGCTCCTTTTAGATGCCGCTGCCCTGCCGGGCAGCGCTCCCAGTGGCGCTGTGCCACTGTTGCTGGCCGCATCTCAAGGTCACCGTGAAGTGGTGCAGTGCCTGTTGTGGGCAGAGGCGGATCCTGAGGCACGGAAGGGAGGAAGTGCCAGTGGATTGGCTGGCGTGACCGCAAAAAGAAACGCACTTCTTTTACCCTTGAGGGGTTCTTACTCCTTTGAAAGGGGTCCGGGCTTGCGTTCCTGCCACACTTGCGTTCCGGGCTTGGTTGCTGTGGCCGCATGATTTGTCTCCCACTTGTGCCCCACTCTCTCCAGTCTCCTGTGTGTGCTTTGGCCGCATGATTTTACACTTGTTTCCCATTTGATTCCCACTGTCTCCAGTCCTTTGGTGGTGTGGCCGCATGATTTTTACACTTGTCTGGACTTGGACCAAACAAACTAGGTGGTGTAATATTGTTTCTTACAGTCCGACAATTTGCAGGATCAGGGAGGATCAGGCAGGAAGGGTTTGAGTGAACCGAACCCATACGCAACATTGGCGCAAACATATACACATCGGTATATTTTGTGCATGTAAATGGGTAGGCATGTGTGCAATTATTGATTATGGACAGATCTACTGTAGATCTATAAATGGTCAAATTGGGAATTATTTGCACCTTCCTGAGGCGCGAGATGATGTGGGAAGCACTGGTCTTTGCTTAGCCGCGGAGGGTGGCTTCGTGGAGGTGGCCCGGACTTTACTGGTGAGAGCTGATGTGGATGGGACGAATCGGAATGGGGAACGTCCCCTGATGATCGCAGCGCAGCGGGGATTTTTTACCTTTATGAACTTGATGCTTCGAGCGGGCGCCGACAAAGATGCGGTGAACTTGGAAGGTCAAACGGCTCTCATGGCGGCTTGTGCACGTGGAGATGTGAGGGGCGTGCGTTGCCTCTTGGACGCATGCGCGCAGATCAATAAGGTGAACAAAGCCAAGCGCACGGGGCTGTACTTGGCTGCCGCGGCGGGCCATCTGGAAGCTCTGAGGCTCTTACTTGAAAGACGCGCCGACCCGGACCTGCAGGACCAACATGGCTGTACTCCTTTGTTCCTGTCAGCTCAGATTGGTCATTCGGGCGCCGTGCGATCCTTGCTCGAAGCCAGGGCCAATACAGAGTTCAAGAGCGATGTAGGGCGAAGTGCCCTGACGACAGCCTCACAGTGTGGACATGTCGCTGTAGTTCATGAACTCCTCGAAGCACGGGCAGCCATAGAGACCTTGGCCCTGCGCTATGCGGTGACCCACGGCCACGAAGAGATTGTGCAGTGCTTACTCCACGAGCTGCAGGCGCAAGGCGATCTGAAGGCAGGTCTTCGCGAAGAGCTGGTGGCGCTGGCGGTGAAACTCCACCAGTCCCAGATCGGATTGTTACTTATGGGTCCTGTAGAAACAGAAGAAGTTGGCACTCCGGAAAGCTCAGCCTGAGAGTTGGTCTAGCACGGAGGTTGAGGACCACGATGTGGTCTGACTTTGATGTGCACGATGAGTTTGGCCCTTTCGCTTCAAGCAGGCAAAGAATGTTCTTCGAGATGCACTCATCAACTGTCCCATCTTCCTGTTCGCAGTCGCCATGTGATTGGCCCATTCGGGGCCCCGGTTTGGGCGCAACCAGCACGTTTTGCGGACGCGCGGCGCACCTCCGAAAAAGGCGCGTTAAGCGCAGCACGTCCTGAGGAGACCGTTTCGCTGGTTGAACCGTTTCGTGTGTGATCTCAGAGACTCTGAGCACCTGGTTGAGTAGCCTCCAACGGGTTACATAGATCCGCATGGAATGTGGGAGACCAAGTTGATGACCTGGATCTTCCAACGGCATGCCACATGTTCTGCCTTTGGGCAGACTTTTATGGATGAACAGGCAGAATTTTGTCACAGTTATATAACTATATTTTTTAGAGTCGATATCAATGGACGGTGCGACGGTGCGACGTGAGTGTTGTTTTCCGACGATTTGCTAGGCCGGGCCATGACATAGCAACACACCGGACCTTTTCGCAGTGAGTGCGGCGCTTTATGTAATCTCCCTTATGGAGCACATGGTATATGGGTATATGGCACAAGTATATGGGTATGGGTATGGCAATATTTACAATATCAGCTGTCCTGAATTTTTGTGCCAAGGTTTTGACTGAAGCACCCGTGAGCACGAGACTCCGGAAAGAACACCAGCCTTTGCTTAGGTGTCGTGTCATGGTCTTCATCCAAAATAACCGCGATAGTCATGTTCCCTTCTTTCATACAAACTTGCAGGCAAGCCACCCGTGCCACCAACTGCCAGACATATGACAGTTCCGTAGAACATTCACGTGTGAAAGTCAGCTTGAAACCGAGTTTTTTTTCAGGGAACTGAACTCGGCCTCGAAGCCACCGGGAAATCCTGCTCACGGATCGGACATGTCCAGAATGCTTGGGGAAGGTGGTGACTATGACTTGTTGGCCTTAAGAAAGCGAAGTTGTTAAGAGGAAACCAGCCATGACTTTCTTCAATGAATCAGCGCTGATTCAGCGAACACACAAGACATGCCATGACAGAATGGCGCCACAGGCAAGAGCTCGTCCAGCAGGAGCGCGGCGGAACACAGAGCAGGAAGTGAAGGTCTTCATCTTCATCGTTCCCCAGTTGAAGCAAGGAACTACAAGGAGTTCTGGATTCTTAATGTGGTAGTTTGGGACTGTAAGTGTAACAATTTTTTCCGCTCAACATCATTTCTCAAGCCTAAAACTTTGTCGAGAAGAGTGCTGACAAGGTGTATGTTCCCCTCTCTAAAGTTGATCTATGATATCTATGTGGATTGGCGGATTGTGTTTTGCGTTCTGTTTTCCAAAAGCAAATCCAGGTTTGGCACTTGGCCCCCGAAGAGCTTGCAATCAACATGCTACTCTGGCTGGCCAACATGATCTCGACCGCAGATGACCAAGGACCAAAGCCTCGGCCTTTGCCTACGGGAAGATCAGACGACGCGTGATTCCAGCATGGGTGAGAAGAGTTCGTACTTTGCCATTGCCCATCCTCTTTGGCTCAGATCTTGCACCTGGCACTGGTGGCACTGGGTACGAGGGTTTTTTTCGCATCCGGTGCAGACGTCCGAAGTGGAGGTGACGGACGCCCCAACGAACCGACGACCGCGGAGGAGCCGACGACGGCGGTGGACGACCCGCGCGCGGAGCCGAACGGCGGAGTTGCACGAACACGGAGTGCACCGCTGGAGGCTGGATGGGAGATCCCCGGCATCTCGGCCGTGCTCGTGGCAGGAACGGCATCGCTACTAGGAGCAAGGAAACTACTAGGGGCTCTTGGCCGCTCTACTAGTAACAAGAAGCTAATAGAAACAAGAATTAGAAGTATAACATCATGATCTAAAATTGGAACTAGAATTATAGAATTGGAAAAACAGCTACCAGGAGCTTTTTCGCGCGCGCGCGTGCGCGGGGGGGGGTAGAGGATGCTACTAGGAACAAGAGCATGAACGGAGCAAGAAGCTACGAACGATTCCTTCCTGTCCCACTGGGCTCTCTGCCGGAGCGGCGGGCTCGCCCGGCGGTGCGGGTGCAGGTGGGGCTCTTCGAGGCGCGAAAGGAGGAAAAGGAACGGCCGAGATGAAGCGCACGGAACGTTGTGGAGGGTAGGGAAATCCATTTCCGCGGCGCGATGTTCGGTGAAGCAGGAACCTAGGACATGGCCGACATGGCTGGTTGTGAGTTCCTTCTCATCACCTTGGATTCTGCTTCGTTGGCCATGTTGGCATCGTCCCTAGTGGCTCCAGGCTTCTAAGAGAACACGGTGGAGCACAGCGCAGTGGGTCAGTAGGTACGGTCATGGTAAAATGATGAGAATCATGAATGAGTGGCTTCTGTGCAGAGCTCGGACATGTTCTTGGGCACTTTGCATGTCCCCAAGTTAGAGATCGAGCTCTCGAACTGAAGAGATTCTTGTTGTTTTTGGCTAAGGCTAAGGGAGAGCCGTCCAGTTTCTCGCGTTTGATGCTTTTGGGCTTTCATGGCTTTCATGTCTACCACCAGGGATCTCCAGCTGAAGGCGATCTCCACGCCATGGCGGCTCGCGGCGAGCACAGAGTTGGACTAATGGATGCAATGACGCACTGGTTTGTGGCAAGGCCCGAACACATTTTAAAGTGGATTTCTTTTGTCTGAGAACTCTATTTTTTTGCCACCCAATGTTCTAACAGGTTTTTAGGTCTTAAAAGGCTTTCAAGATAGCTTGGTTCCATTCGGTCAAGTGGGCTGGGAAAGCCAGCTTGAAGCCTTGCTGAAGCGTTTCTACTCCGCCGTGCAGGGCGGTGTGGAAGAGGCCGTGCCGCAGCGCTCGCGGAGCTCGCGGAGCTCGCAGAGCTGATGGTGCGCCGAGCTGACGTCGATCAACCTTTGGATGCTCGCAAGGAACTTCTAGCTCTCAGCTGCTTGGACGGAGGTTGGTCAGATTTCCTTTTAGAACTCCATCTTTGGCATCCCCCTTTTTGAACGGGTGTGTGCCACACAGTGTGCTGTAAACAGCCTTCCTCTTCAAAGTGCCCACCGAATGAGAAGCCGACCCCCTTGATTCCTGGACTCGTTCTCCCGTTCTCCCAGTTGCCGATGTGGCAATTGATCCCCAAAAACTCATAGGCAGCATAAGGAACTTGTAGAACAAGAACAACTCCTAGTCGTAGTACTAGGCTCCTAGACATCAACAAAGTATCTTCCAAATCTTGGCCGCGATTCTTGTCATTCCCCTTGAGCCTGATGATGGCACCATCATGGCTCCAGCTACACACGGCTCCGTGTACCCAGGCCGGCAAGCAGCGTGGCAACGTGGGGTGGCACTTCTCTTTGCCTTCGGAGTGCCTTAGCCGGATCGGAGCCTGAAACACCGAGTCCGCTGGCTTCGTCCACTAGACGTCGAAGTCGTCGAAGTCGTCGAAACTCCATCAGGGGGACTCCATCGGGTACAGCACAACCATTGCGGCCTGCAGCCGGAAGGAGCTTTGGACCATCTCCCTGCTGCTCCACCAGAGGAGGGGTCCGGCTGTTTTGGACAGTGGCGGTTGGAAGGTGAAGCAAGGCGGACGGTTACTACGGTTACTGTATGTGGGCGGTTCTGACTGGATGTAAGTTAATGTACAAGTTATGTTCGAAGGTTCCAAGATGTTCGAAGAGTTGCTGTATGTTGGCTCGTTTCCTTTCCTTCTTTCTGTTGAGGATGGGTCAGCAGCGCGTGCCCGCTGACCAAGTTGCGATGAACTCCGCCTGCAGAGCCTTGGCCAGACGGGACTTTGTTCGAAGACTTGCGCCTCGTGTGTGTTCGTTCACGTCGTTGCCATGCGTGTGTGGACGTCTCTTGTCACCGAAAGCAAAGAGTGAGACGCCGGAGATTTCGGACTCCGTCCTGCGCGAGGCGCGTGCGAACGTGTGGCACTGTGGCAGCGCTGCATGGATTTCAGGCTTCGCGAAGAACGAGCCGTGAGCAGCGCCATCCATGCGTGCATGAAAGGTCACACGCCTGCATTAAACCATTCTTGACGCACGAGAGTGAGAGTGAGAGAGAGAGAGAGAGCTGGTGGGGAAGAGCACCCGAGAAAGCACGAATCCATGAACTGGGTGGGTCGTTCACTATAGGGAATATAAAACAAGGCGCAGAAAAGGCTTTCCAGTCTGTGTCCCAGAGAGGCCTGAAACAACACCCACCTTGAACCTTGAAGCTTTCGTGCCAGTTTTGATTTTCTCTTTATTCCGGAAGGAACCGAAAGTGCACCACGTCCATAGAGAGACCACGGATCAGACATGGCGCTAGCCTGAGGCCATGCATGGCGCTCCGCCAGCGCACTCCTCCGTGGTGCTTCAGTGCTTCGACTGGCCATGGATGTGGCAGCAGCCACTCCCGCTTTGGGCCGCGCGCCGATGTCCTCGCGGAACTCCTGGCGCCGGAGCCCGTCGATGCTTTGCGGCTGAAGGATGGTGAAGGACCTCCGGATTGGTTTCCGTTCACCCCCACTACCAACAGGTGGTGTCAAAAGGTTGATCTCTATTCTCTGGAGATTGAGGGAGTTGCAGATCCCTTCTGACTCGGGGATGGAGGCGTTGTTATGGGCATGGCCATGGCCGTTGTTGGGCTGCTCCTAAGTCAATCTCTCGTGTGTTCTTTTCTTGCGCATGTCCCGTTCTTTCATTTCATCTCATTTCCCCGCTGAAAACCGCCCAATGCCGGGGGGGATTTGGGGTTCGAACTGGGATCGGTGGAAGGATGAACGAAGTCCTGCCGACTTCGTCGCAGCGGGGTAACCGCGGTGATGAATTTCATGCATTTCCTTAACAAGATGGAGCGTTTCTTTTTCAGATGGGCCCAACTTGAAGGCTGCGATGGATGATGGAATGCAACATCGAGCCAGATGGCGTGACCCTTGAGGTCTTTGCTCGGACCGTGGGCGAGGTGCCTGCAGAGTGCTGTTGGTAGTCCCGGAAATACTTGACTCATGAACATCAAAGACATCGCAAGAAGCACGAACACTCGGATGAACGCAACATACTGCAAAACACAATCCTCGATCAGATCGACTGTTCAAGATGTTTGTTGAAGTGTTTGTTGATGAGAAGGTCCTATGTGTCTAAGACATTCTAAGACCCTGCTTGAGGTTCAATGGGAACAAGCCCTCACGGCATCCTCATTGAGTCCCAGGATCTTGGCCTCTGCACTGAGCTCCTTGGCGTGGTACGTGGAGTTCGGTCGTCGGTGTGACGGCCGCGAGACGTGACTGGCAGGCCCCTGGAATCATGGAATCATCACTCAGGGCAAAACGAACGGGGTATGCAATGAGAAGTAGTAGTAGAAGTATGCGGATATTGTTTGGATACCCCTTTGGTTTTGCCTTTAGTGATGGTTACGTGGATGGCATGGCCCAAACGGGCCTCTCTAGAGGACCATCATGGTCTGGGTTCGTCGAACCCACGAACCAGTTGAGAGGTCAGTATCCCCCAGCCCAAAGTTCACTCGGTGATTTCCACTTCTTTCCACTTCGGATCACCAGTTCCGTGGTGCCTTTTTTCTCAAAACGATGGAGTTGAAGGACGAATGAACACCTCCAGCGACCCGGGTTCCGAGCGACCCAGGTGGGCGCCAGCAGACTGCCTGGCAGTTTGCTGCTGCATCACTGGATCGAGACTTAGATTCGAAGATGCTCCTGCCAACTTCGGCCTTTTTCAAGCCCAGAGTTTGCCTTGGCCTGTTTGTCTTCTTCCTTCTTCTTCCTTCTTCCTTCTTCTCCCAGCCAAAGAGATGCTGTGTCACCAGGTGGCGATGGCTGCGCAGTCGGACGTGACGAACTGCTGCACCACGCTGGCCCTGTGCGCCGAGCCCCACTGGTGCGGTGGGCGGTGGGCGGGTGGTCAACGTCACCGTGATGCCTTCAGGATCCTTGAGGCCAAAGTCAAGCCACAAAAAGCATTGAAAACGACAAGCAGGTGTGCTCCTTAGTATCCACTGGTATCCCACTGGTATCCCGTATGAGGCCTTTGGCGCTGGAACTGCTCATGTCCAAGCATGTGGACACTGCCGCCTGCACAGCTGCAATGTCCCCAGAGGCTGCTTTTGGCAGCTTGGATCTTCGAACCTTCCTGAAGAGCAAGCGGTTGTTTGCAGATGTTTTGCTCTGAAATGATCGTGTTGGCGCTCTCTAACGAACTCGAGTTTCGAGTTAGAGGATGTCCTTATTCTAAGGCTCCTCTGCCATCGGCCGCCAAACCTGCTTTGATTCTCAGGAATCCTGGACTTGTTGCAGCAGCGGGGTCTGCAGCCGAGCTGTGCTACGGCGACAGCTGCCACATCTGCACTGGTGCGAAAGACGTTCTGGCACAGTGCCGCCGTGCTTCTGGCACGAATCCAGGCACTGGGAAAGAGCTGGAAGCCGAGCCGAGCTCGTGCGAGTCGTCGACTCGTCGAGCCGAGCCGCGCAGGGTAGCCTTGTCGTGCCCAACCTTGCAGTCCTCAACGCCCAGCTGAAGGCTGCGGAGATTCGCGACTTGAATGACGAGAGGGCATCGTGTAGGGAGAGAGAGAGAGAGAGAGCTGGGAATGTGGGAGGGGGAAGACTCTGGAACAGCAGTCCAGCCTTTGAGAGATTTGAGTGGATGACTGTGCCCCAAACGCAACACCGAGCACTCGAAGATCTCAGGTAGTGCCTGGGCCGTAGCACTTGAGCAGCTGAAATGGATCGTTCGCTGCCGGTTCTCTCCAGACGATATCACCTGGTGCTCCTCTGTGGCTGCTTGTGCCAATGCAGCTCTGTGGGCAGATGCTTCCAACCTGCTACGACAAATGCAACAGCTGCAGCTGGAGGTGTCTCTCGGCCAGAAGCGAAAGACGTTCACCAGCCCCTTCGTTCATCGCCCAAGTCAGTTCCAAAGATGGCGGATCCAAAAAGGTCGGGGAACCGGAAACACTGCATATACTGTATGCATACTAGTATAGAGAAAACACAGTTGGAGGCCACCGCTAGTAGGTTGGAGGCCATAGCTACTAGAAAAAACAAGACTGACAGGGAAGAAGCATCTTAATATGCTATGAGGTTGGAACATCTGTCCAATTTGGAGAATCCAATTCTACTCGATACAATTGTTCATATCCATACTTCGAGGCCGCTCTTCACCACCACAGCGGCCAGCGCGGCCGCAGCCGGGGCGGCCTGGCCCCGTGCCATGGCGCTGGGGACGAATGGGGCGCTGGCAGCCAGGAGAAAGCGTGGACGCTGACCCTCCCTACAATGACCCACACGCTCCATGTAGGGAATATATTCCTCTCATTGATTCCTTTCTCTTTTCAACCACCCCCATGGAGTGTTTAGGTGGACATGTCCGGTGGATCGTTTGGTATTTCCAAGGGGGGGGTTGCCCCGGAGGGCAACCGTACCTTCACTTCTATGGGCAGTTTGGGAGGGTACGGCCGGACAGGGGTCTGACCGCATTCCGCTTGGTCTTGGCAGGTCTTGGCAGTCATCGTGATTTGGAGGATGGAATTTCCGCATGTGACTCAACAAAGGCGGTTGAACTGAGTCAAGATGCTTCAAGCCAAGCCACGAGGGTGAAGAGCTTGGCCAGGAGCATTTGCTGGGACAGGGCATTGACACTGGCAAGCCAAAGTTCCATGGCCAGCTTTTTAGAGCAGCGGGCGGGTGTACAAAAAAGTTGTTATGAATTAGGTGACAGTAGATGACACACCTGGGACACACCTCCCCAGAGCAGTCACAATGAGATGAACCTGAGCACGCTGAGCCCTTGCACGATCGCTCGATATCGCTCGTCACTGCGATGGATGCGATGGGCGTCCCGTCCTCAGGCGAGTCCAGCGAGCACGACCGGCAGATGGCCATCAACTCCGCCGTGGCGGCCTGTGCCGCAGGCCCGAACCGCCCGAACCGCCGAGTTCGGCGGTGCGGTTCACGCGCGATGGCGCTGCGCGCGTCGAGGTCGGTGGCCTTGGGCCCGGCACCTGCTGCGGCACACGGATGTGGATGCCGTGGGCCTCAGCGCCGCGCTGTCCGCGGGTCCTTGGAAGGCGGCATCTTTGGGGCGAGCGAGCTGGTCGCGAGACAGAGGTCGAAATCCGCTTCCGTGGGAATCCAGAGATGAGAGGATCCCTAAGAATCCGAATGGGCTCTCCATGGCAGGGGTCCGGACCCGACCTCTTGGCAGGGGTCTGGGCCCGGTTCCCAAACCCTATGTGTTTGAGGACCCGGATTCTTAGGGATGGGAGAATGTAATCACATTGGGGGCTTCTACCCAATTTCCCCCAGTGGTTAATGGGGATTAACACTAATCCTATCCCCTTAATATGAAACATTCCGTAAGTGTGTGCCGAAAATGGGGGACATCCCGTACTAAACCGTGTTTTCTAGGGGGTTTTTAGATGTTTTTAGTGGTTCCATCTGTACAATACTTGCCAACACTTACCCCCAAAATGACCCGGTTCTGTAGGACAAGTTTTCTACTGTATTTTTTGAGCGATTCGGAAGAATTGGGCTCACCAATTCTAGTCCGGGACAAGAAGATAAAAAGGGACAACAATAAGCGCCGGCTTTTTGTATTTTTAAAGTTCATTACCATTTACAAAGAACTCCCACAATTTCAAGATTGGAGGTTTTGTTTCCACACTGGTAGTCAAGATGCGCGACGGCCTCGCGCTGAAGGATGCTATCCAATTTTTGACCACACCGTACACCCCAACCAAGGGCCGGTGAATTTCACGAAGAAGTTTCCCCCTTTCTTAAGTTCACCTCCATGGAGAACTCCACCATGAAACACATCGCTACTAGGAGCAAAGGGCATCGCTACTAGGAGCAAGGGCCTTACTAGTAGTAACAAGAAGCCATTAGAAACACATGGCATACATTCCATCCATTCCACGAAGAAGGCCAATGCCTGCTGCCAAAGGGGTCGAGGCGTTGATCTCAACTCAACTCGAGCGTCCGTCTCACTTGGAGGCTGCCTTGGCGATGTTGCAGGTGGCCGCCACGGTGGACCAAGTGTGCAGCTCGTGCTGCAGAGGATGGAAAACCCCAAAAGAAAGGCTTTTGCAGCCAAGGCTTCAGTTCACTCCGTTCGAAACTCCTCTCCAGGTTCCTTTGAAGGCTTCTTGAGTGTCATTTTTCCCTTCTTAGCTATATGTTTTGGGTCCATTTCTGGCAGCCCAGGCTTCAGCGTTGCCATTGCGACCTGTGCTCGTGGCGAGGAAGAAGCGTCTCACCGCAAAAACCGTGATCGAAAAATGGTCCGAACCAAAGGCTGCCTTCTTAATTCTGTGCGTGTGCACAGCATGTGGTGCAGTTCACAGTCGCAAAAGTGTTGGCCAACTAAGGTAGACTGTTGATCAGAAACCCTCCCCTTGTTGAGATGGAACACATTGGAGAAACCAGTTTCCATTAATCAATCAGTCTACGAGTCTACATTACAGCATTGCATTGCTTTTGCCACCTTTGGGCAGAACGCATCGTTCGAAACTACGCTGCGCAGTGCCTCCACAATCCGAATGGGAGCAGCGAGCTCGAGCTGCATTGGAGCTATGTGATAAGCCGGGCCCTTAGGGCGACTTTTGCTTTCCACTCATGGGGGGGACAGTTTGCGAGCTGCCGAAAATTATGACCAAATACTTGTATTCCAAAAATCGCCACAGAGAGAGAGAGAGAGAGAGGGAGCGAGCGCGCGAGGGAAGGAGCAAGAGCACTACTTTTGCAAACGTTCCGAGTGACTCACATGGTGTTCGATGTTTGGTCTTCGAAGAGTCCAGCCGAAACTATATAACCTGATGTTTGATGTGTTGGGGAACCCACTCGGCTTCGCTCGGACAGATCGCTCCGAACCATCATGAACGGGGTGGTCACCGGGTGATCTATACCCAGAACTTCCTCCAACGGCTGATTTTTTTCTCCCCACGTAACTACCAGTCACCATCCACTACCTCCACCACTCCCAGTTGGACGGTTTGGTATCTTGGTGGTTCTGCACCGGTGGACCTGGGTTGACTGGTCTCCTGCAGGTCTTGGACAGCTGTGTCCAACGGTTCCACCGGCGATTTGCGCCAGGTCGGGGGGGTCGAGCGGGTCGTTCCGGGGGCGGCTTCAAAGGGGCCATGGAGTGGAAAAGAATCCACAAGCAGCTGGAAGTAATCCCCCAAAACATGTTGGACATCCTGACCTCCCATGACCCCCCCCCTCCCATGACCGTGGTTTTCCATCACCCAGCCAATTGGGCTTCATGGAGTCCGAACCTTCCTCCCCCCAAAATCCGTTCGGACCTTCCGTTCGGACCGGGCCTTCGATTGGTCGGCGCAGGCGGCCCAGTTCGCCGTGGATGCCTGGGGAGGCGTTCTGATGAGAGGTCACGACTGCTGCGTCCTGTCCGGACCGCCGAGCCATGTGGCGGTGACCGGACGACACAGATGGATCTGAGAGGTGTGAAGCTTCACGCGAAAGAGAAAGAGCACACATCACACAATATCTGTCACATATCAGTATACGTAGACCTAGATGTTCCAACTGTGCAACATTTTCAGCCTTTTCAACTCACAAAACCAGCCGAACGGATCCAAAAGGCACCATTTTGCGTAGTTGGAAGATCTAGGTATATATGTGCATGTGTATAGAGTATTTTGTTGTGGTTGGTACATTGTAGGTATGCATGTTCGAGATATATCATATATCACCTCACCTCTCGTCGTTGCAGATGATGCAGTAGACTTGTGATCCGAGTCTTGGTAGCTGAGGCTCGCTGCACCTTATTGCTATGCACAGACCATCGATGTCTTTGACTTCTCAATTCCGTTTCTAGTCTTGTTGTTTGTCCGCCTGCCATGTTTCCGTCTGCCTTTGGTCGATGTCCTTCCTGGCTCTGAACATGGTCTTCACGTTGCACGGACGCCAGGTCATGCTGTTCGTGTGCGTCTCATCCAAGCCTTCGCCTTAGAGCTGAGAAGAGGAAGGACGGGAGACAGAAAGGTGTGAGGACAGTCCAACTGCTCCAATCTTACAGCGCCAGGTTCTTTTTTGTAACACCTGGATTGACAACCGCTCCAAATCCAACGGATTGGGTCATTTCCTCTTCAAGACAGCCGCTTTTCCAGCAAAACTGGCCTGGCAGCCACGAACTTCGCACACGTGAGGTCGTGCGCTCTTTGGCTGAGACAGCTGGGCCAGAAAGCTCCTGAAGAGCCCGGACCCTTGGACCCGTGATGGATCCTCTCCGAGTCACATGGAGGGAAGATGTGACATGCCGAGTCCCTGTGTGCCTGAGGCCATACCATTGCATTGAAGCTCCTCTGGGAATGCTTGTGGCTTAATCTGACTGCAAGCCACTGCTTGTGGTCTTCCAATTTTGGATTCGCCTTGTGTGCCGAATGGGGGAGTACCAAGGCCCCAGAATGCCTTGGATTTGGAGTCCGGGTCTCGGGGCGAGGTCGGCGAGGTCAACCAAAACCGTGCAGAAGTCCACTGAGTCAAAAAAGGTGACCCCAGTCCTAGCTTCATATTACTAGTAAAAGAATGCTACTAGTAGTGATGCCAGGAGCCCTTGGTGGCGTCCGATCGCTCCTAGTAGTAAGGCCCGGAGCCCCTAGTAGCTTCTTGTAGTGATGCCAGGAGCTACTATAGTAGCTATTTGCTCCTAGTGGCAATGCAGTAATGCCCTTTGTTACTAGTAGCGGTGCCCTTTACTTGAAGGAACTTCCTTTACTTTAACTGTGGCATATCGTCCTACTCTTCACTGGACTTCCAGGGTATATGTATATATCATAGATATATATATATAGTTCTCCTTCCATTGACAACAACGCCAAGGCAGAAACTGATGGCCATTTGGGAATCCTCTTGCCTTGGTGGCAAGGGGGACTATCAGAAAGCTTTGCCACTCACTCAGCTCACTCAGCTCACTCCCGCCACTCAGCTTGCTCACCCCCCCTCCGTCGCTTCATGCCGTCGTGCCACATGAAAACGTCCTCCATTCTTGACAGCCGGAAACGAGATGAAAGAGAATCGAAACCGGAGAAAACCCATGTTCGACCCAGACAGAGAACATCACCGGACAAAGGTCCGAAGTCGTGGGTCGACCCCGACTGGACACGACTCCGGGTCGAAGGGAACTGCGGATCGAGGCCCAAAGCCCAAGAATGGGGACGGGCAGCGGCCACCTTCTTCGCCACGATGAAGCTGGACTTTTGCTTCCAGGCCCTCGTGAGCTTCTCGATGAAGCTGAAGAAGACGCTCACCGACATCCCACGCTTTCTGTGTGTCGGAGTGAGGACCGTCATGGTATGTAATGGAGCTAAGCAGGCTAAGAGAATCGGGACCAATTCAGGCATTGATATCGTTTGTTTTCTTTAACGCTATAACCTAGGCTTCCAAGACCATTTAAAACATGGTTGACCGGTTTTTTGTACTGTAAAATCCTCAGTTGATTCGGGATTCAGCATCTTAATGGTGGTTGGAAGCCTAGGGTACATCCCCCATGACTTCCGGGGCCTTCTGGCAGGGGTCGGACCTTCTCCACCGAAACGCAGGGGGTCCGGACCTTCTCCACGCGCCCGGATTCATCACTGCGCGACACGTGTCGGACAGATCACTGTTGTTCAGCCTCCGAACGGTGTGGAGGCTGACAGCGTTTGCAACCAGTTTGAGCACTTGATCTCTCTCTGGAGGTGTGGCGTTTGGCGCCTTTTCTGCGACTCGCGAGCCGTTTACATCTGGAGATGGATTTGTGAAGAAGTCTGATGCTTTAGACGGAGAGAGATCTCCAGCATCAACCTCACAGGGTGGGGAGGGTTCTGCAAGAGTCGACCGGCACGTCAAAACCGGGCACCTTTAGACTCAACGCGGCAAGAGCGAGTTGGTGTGTGTGTGTGTGGGTGTGTATATTATATTCTTTAGTACGGAGACACCCTGGCCAATGGGTTTTGACGGTCCAGGGGGGTTCCAAGCCTTTCCATGGCCTGTGTGGGGTAACGAGCCAGGTCTCATGCAGCCATCGTGACGGACCTGGCCATTCAAGATGCCTACGAAAACCGATGGAGGCGGTCGGAATGGACGCCGTCGGACCTTCGTCTTCGGAGCCCAAGCCGGATGAAGGAGGACCATGGCACAGCAGACTTGTTTTCTGCACTCAATTACGACCACCTGCATGGTGGTGCACAATTTCTTCACGGCAGGATAGATTAAGAAGTTTATATCTTTGGAACCAAACACTCCGGCTCCGTCTCCGGCTTCGTGCTTCTTCCCCAAAGACACCAATATACTGTGCTTCACCGCAAAATAAGGAACCGCCAACCATGTGCAAACCCACGCCGCTTTTCAACGGAGACGCTGAGACGAGGGTCCCGCGCGACGGCAGATGGAGCTCGGGCTCCTGGAGCGACGCCACCGAGCCGGTGCGCATGGACCAGAACGGCAGCAAGGCGAGATCAGTGTGACGCGAGCACTCTGGCAAGCCCTTCGGGAGGACGTGTTTTCCCGTCAATGGCTCCCCTTTAATGGGGCTGAACATATACATATATATGTATAAGAGCCTATAAACCCGAGGCATCATGGATTTTTTGGAAATTTGTTAGAGGACTTTTGAGATTTTAGATGACTTTAGTATGGGACTTATATACATGAGACTGACATGCAGCGAGCTGTTTCATGACGAACGTCATGATCTTTCCCCGTTCACATCTTGAAGTGACCCATGTCACCCCATGTCACCCCATGCCCTTGGAAGCCATCATCCTCGTTCTTGGAAGAACAACATCTCCCATCGTGGTGGGAGTCTGTTCGATGAAGTGTTCCGCAGGGTGTTTGGCTTGTCCTGAGAGTCGAGTCATGACTCATGAAGTACCCCAAACTTTCCAGGTGGGGTAGTTCATGAGTCAAAACAGAAGTTCTAGCTTGGAAAGATCGGGATCTTTGGCTCAAGAGACGTACAGCTTTGGAAGGTGCTGGTGCGAGAAAAAGGGGTGGCCTCCAAAATCGCTTTCAGTCCACCAAGTATGAGCATCCGAACGGAAAGAGCCTGGGATCTTTTTCTGGGCGTTCGGCTGGAAGATGTTGGGGGGTTGGGGGCGCTGGACGTTTTTCCTGTTTTTTTTTTCCACTGTTCGGAATGTGGTTCATGTCTTAGTTGACTCAACCATCCGCAACCCCTTAAAATGAAAGCCTTAAGAATGAAGCTCTTCGTTCCTCTCCTTCGAAAGCTCCATGAATCCAGGAATTGACGCATGGTTTGGCCTCGCCGGCAGTTGCATGTCAGACTCTGGCTGGGAAGTGGCTGCTCGAACCGAGAACAAAGCCGCGCTGTCTCATCGTTCCAGCCCGTGGGGGGGGCATCTGCTGAAGTTCGAGTTCTTCAACCTCTTCATCGAGAATGCCCCTCCCAATCCCAGTGACTTGTTGGTGAGACCTGAAGTGCGAGGCACCTTCGATGACAGCCCCTCGGACACGAGCCGGGCTCGGAATCCGTTTTTGGTTCACGGCCCAGGATGGAGGTTTGGGTGTTCCAAAAAAGGGACTGGCCGGGGAACATGAACCAAAAGGGAGCATCACAGGGGAGGATTTCAAGCTGAAGCGCGTGGAACTCCAACCCTGGAACATCTGGGAATTCGGAGATTTGATTGGGAGCTGGGGTTGGTTGGAAATCCCTGCCACTGGGTGGCTCCCTTCGATTCTTCCGCCCCCCTCCCGGAACGCAGGTTGGCCCTCCATCCGGGTGAAGTGGGAGGAGACCTTTTTGTCTTTTTTGGAACCATGAAATAGTTATACGATATTCATGCGGATTGTTACGCAGTATGAAGGGACTTGAGTCGCTCGCTTTCTTCCTTTTGTCTGACCGCTCGTCTGTCCAACCGTTCGCCGTTCCGGTGGCAGAAACGCGGGAAGGAGACCTATGCGCCCGGCGACGCCTTGGTGCAACGCTCCTCCACGCTGTGGATCTTCCGCCTCGCCTCGGTGCTCTTCGGGCACTCCAGCGGCCCCTCCGAGCGCCCGAGCACCAAAAAGCGGGAGAGGTCCACCGGTGGAGAGCATGACACCTATACTCAGAGGTGGTTGGGGAAGGTCGTACGTGATATATTATTTATAGAGTATCTGGGTGTTCCAAACTCGTGATGGTGTGGAGGTGTGTGCTCTCTGTCTGTTTGTCGGACTACTACCTTGAAAAGCTGGTTGGAATATGCTAGAATGATGAATGATGACTCACTTCTTATGACAGGTTGGAAAGAATCGGTTCTTCAGGCTTTTCTTTCTACTCTCCTTGTCTGCTTCAGCTCTTCTTCCCCCACTTGGACTGAACTGGTTGCGTTAAACACGGGCAGTTCAGTTTCCCAGGAACAGCTTTTTTTACGACCCGAAGCCCATCCCAGCGCGGCATCAACTCCGAAGAGACTTCCCGGAGCCGAAAGACTGCTCCTATGCAGCTTTCCAGGAGGGTGGGCCTAACAACTGAGCAAGCAAGTTCTAACGGTTCAAGACTTTCCCTAACGAGCCCAAGTCCAAGTATACAAATTATACAAAGGATTGTCTTTCGGGGGGCCGATAAGTATAGTCTTTGGACTTCTAGGGGTTCTAGGGCTCAAGGTGAAAATCGCATAGGCCGAAGAGCTTTGGTGGTACAATGGTGGTTTGTTGGAATCATGAGTGGACAGAGCTTTTTTCCTTCCACATCCGCAAGGCAGGTCGTTTCGTTGTCAGGACTACCATGGGGTTGGACAGGAAGGCATTCTGATCGCTCGCAACTTGGGGCAGCAAAACCGCTTTCGGGTGGTCTTGGTCTTCAGCACGCCTGAAGCGCCTCGATGCGATAAACGTTAGCCGTTAGGATGCATGCGTTTACGACGCGAAAAGACACGGCGAAAGCCCACGATCAAGGCGAAATTCCACGAGAGTATCAAAGCTTCAAGCTTCTAATGTACAAGAGCTTCACACGTTGACACACACACACACACCATGCCATATATACCGTGCATCCTTAGGTATACCTGGGAGTGCAAGACTGCTATTCTAAACATGGTCTTTAGGTGAGCTGACCTTACTACTTTTGGTAGGGGCAACATATAGCCTTTGGACTTCAGGGTGATGTAGCATATACAGCAAACACAGATACTTAGGAATCAGTGCAATCACTTTTTGTTGCTAATCACTTCTGAATTTTGAGGACAAATGGCCGTATTGGGCGGCGCCGTTCTTCCACTGGCTCACAGACACGCTCCACAAGGCAGCCCTGAGGTTCTTGAACCGTCCTTTGGTCCAACAGATGCGTGCGATCGACGCGAACCTCTACATGGTCACCTGGTTGCAGCGCGGTCCACGTTCGTTTTATGCATTGCACGTCGTTTCTACATAGACATAGTCTTTGTTCAAGCATCAGATGAAAAATATACAGTTAGTAGCACCAAGTAGTAAGCCACTATAGGAGCATTTCGGGCATCGCCACGAACGGAGCGATCGGACGCTACGAACGTAGCAAAGACGATATAGTTAGTAGCATCAAGTAGTAGCAACAAAATACACAGGGGCCGGCCGGATGGCCGGCCGCGCCGTGGACGGCCGTGGAATACTGGGTTCTCCCTGGCCTTGCGCTGGACCCTCCGCACCCGAGGTGCTTGGGATGCGAAGCTTCAATCGTGGACCGCCGCTGCTTCCCGAGAAAGAGGCGTTGAAGGGTGACGGAGCGTGAACTTTCGCGTCGCGCGTTTACAACTCTGCAGATGTATTGATCAGATCTTACTTTCTACTGCTCCCGGGCCAGTGTTTGTCGGTGCTCGTCTCGTGCTGGACTCCGACTCGGTGTCCAGGACTCGTCCGAGAGCATCAGCATCAGCAACAAGAGTGGCGATGTCACCCACTGGACGCGTTTGAAGAGGAAGTTCCGCATGACGGAGTACTTGCACTCCTTCATGGCGGCTTTGGGATATGACTTGAAGACCTATCAGAGCCTTGAGGGCCGCACCTTAGTGAACTACCAATGTGTGGTGCTGCGAAAGGACTGGGAGACCCACAGGGCTGCCTTCGTGGAAGCCTTCAGTCTGCAAAAGGCCGCCTATCGAAGGGCGAACGGTGGCACTACAGCACCCAGCTTGGTGGAAGACGCGCGGGCCAATTTCATTTCGGAAGGTGCGGCGAATGCGTGAAGAAGATACCAGCGAACCAGTTTTGGCACCGTTCGGAGATGTTCAGATAGCTAAACATTGGCATAAACCTATAGAATGAATCCCAAAGTGAGGAAAATTCCCTTTTAGGCTCGCCCTAAATGATAGTCAGATCATTCTTTTGATCGTCAAGTTGGTTCGATGGCACCACCACACCGACTCTATAGACAGATGGTCAAACAAAACTACCTCACTTGGACATGTGTCATAATACCACCCAACACCTAAGTGAGGCAGTGGATGGTCCTGGTATAGTTTTGCTTGACCGTCTAAGAGCCGGTTCCAAATCCACCCAACACCTGGCACCTGTCACCACACCTGTCACCACGCCGAGCCGGCCGGCCTCAGTGCTCTCCAGGTAGCAACGCGTCCGACTCGCCCAGTCCGATGATCGTGAAGACGGTGGTGCGCAAGACCTTTCTGGAGCTGGAGGAGGAGCTGGAAGCGGTTTGGTTAGCGGTTGGAGCGGTTAGAACCGGGGCGCTCCGGGCTCTGAGTAGATCTTACGTAGCAAGGACGCTAGCGCTACTAAGTCACAAGGTGCATCGCTATAATTATTAGGAACAAGGACGCTACGAACGTAGCTCCCCTTGCTTGTCAAAGCTTGGAGGAGGAGCTGGAGAAATTTTCGGAGATCCCTCTGCGGCGGAGCAAGAGCGACTCCTTTGGTGATGGCTGGACCTCGATCCTAAGTGAGGGGCTCCAAAAGTGAGACTGACGACTGACGAGCAAAAGAAGGAAGCGTCGCTCGAGCGTAGCTCGTGTGCATGTCTACCATGTGCTACCCGTTGTAAAGTTGTACAGCCGATTCTAGCGACGCCGATTCGCTGAGGATCCCCCCCGATTTAGACCCCCTTCTGAAGATGATGGGAGAGTTCCTGAATTTGCTATACAGGCAGCATGTCGGCCGAATGTGCACAGTGGCCGTCACGGAGTGCCCAAACCACGGTGCTCATTGTGCCGGCTTTTTGAAGTGTACAGGAACGTCCAGGCGGTCTATCATGCTTTGCAACTAATTGGGTGTGCTGCTTTGTAGTGAGCAGCGCAAGCTGAAATTGGAAGACAGCAAGTTCCCTGCACTCATCGGCTAATCAACGATATGTGGCTATGGCCTTGTGGCTCAATCGAATGCCAAAAGCGGGAAAAGAAGAGCTACAGACTCAAAACCCATCAAGACCCTATAAAAAAGAAACAATATTTAAAAAACAATTATATATATATATATAAACATATATGCATATATATATATATATGTATACCTCCCTATAGACATACCGTACAGCTCTAGGGTTTCTGAAGCTCTTCTTTGATGAACATCGAAATACCATGCCAGCCCTGTTTTGTTCGATGGCCTTTCTGAAATCTCCAGGCGCTGCAGCGCGCAGCAGCTGAGGCAGAGACGGAACTGTTAAAGGCTCGGACGGAGGGGGGGACGATGTCGACCGGATGACCGACCGGATGACCGACCGGATTTCGTAACTCCTCACCAAAACCCCATGGGTTGGCCATTGAAAGAGAAGTCCACTTCGACTCGGAACTACCGTTGGTTCGATCCGGGGAAGTCCACTGTAGGTTCACCCCGAACCGGACCGTCGCCTCTCCCGAACCGTCGAGGATGCGCTGGCCGATTTGCATCGCGAACTTCTGGAGGGCCTCCATCGATGGCGGAGCAGGTCGGACCCTCGGATGGATGTGTGGGGCCCAGGTCCGGGGGTTCATCCGGATAGAGAATCCCTTTGCTAGTAGCGATGGCCTTCACTTGCGATGGCCTCCACCTAGGAGCGCTCTTCGCTTTGGGTTTTTTACACTCCAACAAAGATGGAGGTGGAACCTGTCCTGTTCTGTTCTGTAGAGGAAAATGGATGAACATAGTGTTTCGAGGACGTTGAAAGGTGGGCATTTGATAGCTCTTCCGTCTGGCGGAAACCGTCTTGCACTACCCATCACTGCCCGGTTTCAGGATGAAGCAGGCTGGCATGTGGTTTTCAGAATGTGTTTCAAAGACTTTGTGTGACAGGCTAGCTGCATACCCTGAATTGCAGGCAGGGTGGGCCGTTTTCATCAGTCGGATGCGAAGAGACAGAATCAGTCCGGACACACCGATCCCACTTCTCGCCTCAGGTGCCCTCTCGAAGAGAAAGCAGAGATCTTAGTTCGAACGAACGCCATGATTAAACACCACCCCACCGTGTTCTTAGTCGTGATGCACCACTATGCACCACTGTGTTCTTGGGTTGACTCGAAAACCAAATGGACGAACGGTCCGTGCTCGTGAAACCATGGCAGATATGGCAGATGCCGCCGGTTTTTCCACTAGGCCGACGGATTATGCATCCATCCGTGGGTCAGACCATGTCAGAAAGAGCAACCTACAAAGAAACTTGGGCAAAATGCACTGAGGGCTGCGACATGGACTACTAGGCCATGCAGACAGTGAGTCTGCGAAGCAGCTGGCTGGGGTGCTTAAGACCGGCTTGGTCTCTCGACCGAGCTCGATTCGGGTCGTCTGCGGGTCTGGACTCAGGTTGAGATCAGCGTCTATTTGCTGGTGCGGCTGCTCAGTGTTTCTCGCACCCGCTTCTCAGGAGGAAGCCGCTGCCCTGCCTTCGAAGTCCTCAATCGGGGTTCACCGATCGAGGATCGATGCGCTTCTTGTTCCCATGCTTTTCTCCACATGTAGCACATGTTTTGCGAACATATGCGAACATAGCATGACACCTCACTCACCCTGATCAGTGACCTGCCAGATCAAAAGTCTCCAATAATTCCTTAAAATGTGTCTATCTGATCATTTGTGATCGTATCTGATCTATTTGAAGACACATCTCTTTTCTTTTTCCTATTTTTCCTCTCCAACATCTCCAACCAAACTTGGTGACCGAGATTCCCTCGACCTGAGGTCTGGGGCGAAGCGGGCAACATCCGCTTCATGTCCGGCCACCCGAGGGCGAAGGTGCAAGGTCGAACGGAGTCGAACGGCCGGTAATTGAGGCGGGTATATGAAGCATATGAACCAGTAGTCAACATGAGTCAACGTTCGTTGGATTTCTTTTATTTTTCGTTTTCTTTTCGCAACTGCAGGTCCACCTGGAGCAAGTAGCGATCAGAGAGAGAGAGAGAGAGAGACGGCCAGGCCTGAACTCATTTGCTTCCTCACGGAGCTGGCGCTGGCTTCTGAGGACGTGCAAATGGGAGGCGCCGTGTTTCGCCACTGAAAGCCGTTGCGAAACACGGCAGAGAAGACAGGCGAAAGCGGAGGCGAAAACCACTTGAACCGCATGTTGAGTTAGAGGTTCAAAATAGTATTTGTCCTGCCCATTTGAATTGAAAGACCCTTTTCATACGTTTGAAATCAAGAGTCTACCTTGATGCCCTGTGCCAGGCTCCCTCTATGAGGGTGCTGGCACGACCAAGAGTGGCCTCTTCTTGGCCAAGATTATCAGACCGATTTACAATGTCATCTTTGAGGAGCGCGGAATCCATGTTGTTTTTAGAACAAACCTGGATCACCTGGTGGTACCCTTAACCCAATGTGCACATAGGCGACATGGAAGTCCAGAATGGAAAAGCAAAACCCCAAACGCAACCTGTGGTTCACCTGGCAGGAGTGGTATGTGAAAGTGGATGTCGACGCAAAGACGGGCAAGGACAAGAAGGTCTTGAAACAGAAATATGACCGATTTCTACCCGCCGGGACCTCACAACGCGTGGGACCAAACATGACGTCGACGTAACATCACAAGCTGAGTCGACGACTTCGCGCTGTTTTTACAATTTCGTGCAGTTTTTCGCGAGTTGTTGAGGGATGGAGATGTTTGTGCGATGCTTGATTTGATGCCGCTCGGTTCTGCTTAATAGGATGCTCTAGGTGTGACAGTTGCAAGTGATGTGCACACAACATGCAAACCTTCTATATAGTGGCAAGATTGGATTACTGCGTTGTAGCAAGGTTGGAGGCACGTCATGCGCATCTGATGCGCATTTTGCGCATTCGCCATGGCAGATGAACGCTTGTCAGAGCAGTTGCTGACGGCCTGCACCAAAGGCCTGGCAGGTTTGGTGCCTTTGTTGTTGAAGAAAGGTGCCTCAGTGAATTGGACACGATCTGATGGCTGGACGCCCTTAATGTCTGCTTGCAGCGGGGGTCATCTCACAGTGGCGCAGCTACTCTTAGATGCTGGTGCATGTGTGGATGCTGCAGCAGCCGATGGCTTTACGGCTTTGATGGAGGCCTGTACTGCAGGGCATCTGGAGCTGGTAGGCTTGCTCTTGATCCATGGTGCCAACATTTCTCATGCGACTCCCAGTGGACGCACGGCAGTGATTTTGGCCAGTCTCTATGGGCACACCGAGGTGGTTGAGCTTCTGTTGCAGCACCATGCTGACCCTCGACCCAACAAGTTCACGGCATTGCATGCCGCATCAGGGAATGGGCAGGCAGGGGTGGTGCAGCTTCTGCTGCGAGAAGTTCCCTTGATGGCCGATTCCGAAGAAGCCTCAGGATCTTTCATCTCAGCTTGTGCCAATGGACATCTTGAGGCAGCACAACTTCTGCTGGAACATGGTGTTTCTCCTTGTGTCGCCAGTGCCGATGGCACCACTGCATTGATGAAGGCTTGTATGGGAAGCCACCGGGATGTGGCCGCTGAGCTCATCTTGTACGGTGCCAGCGTGGAAGATGCCTTGAACACCGCCCGGCGCAGCAAGATGCCCGGCGTCACCCGGGTCCTGCACCGCGCCGTGGAGGAGGCGATGGCCCGCCGGAAAGAGGAGGATTGCCGAGGCTTAGATGATTTAGTGCAAAGCATTGAGGGCAAAAAGAAGGGCAAGAAGCTTCAGAGCAGCAAGTCTTCGCACTTCTCGTCACGTACTCGCTCCCACTTCTCGGCGGCCTCCACGTCCACGGCCCTCGCCTTCTCGGAGGGCGCCACGGAGACCTCTCCGGGCCGCCCGGAGCATGCGGAACAGACGGATGATGAGCATGAAGAAGGCTTCGTGGCCAATCCCAAGTGCCCCTTCAGCGGCGCCTCCTGGTTCAAAGCTCTTGCCAGTGAGGATGAGGGAGTCGACCCCTTCAGTCCGGACGGCGGTCGCGAGGACGCGGACGCGGTGGAGCGGGTGGACGGGGCGATCGAAGAGGACCACGGCACTGTGCCTTGGCAGAGGGTCTTGGAGGAGACCTCTGGCTACTTTCCGGAGTCCACCTCAAGCCGTTTAGATGGCTATGGACTTCCCGTTTGTCGGCAGATGCCCATCTATGGCACTGCATGCTATACGATTGAAGTGCTCATGGAGGAGCCCCCATCACCGATTTGAGAGGACCCCAAATGAGCGTGCAATTTGTGCAGCCAACAGAGCTGTGCAGAGCTGTGCTGATGGAACAGGACAGGATTCGATGGCAGTTGCGTCAATGTTTCACCCTTCTCTCCGTGGCAATGGCCTCTCTGAGTGCTTCAGCCTAGCCCATTTTTGGGGGCTGACGTTGGTCGGGGCAGAAGCAGCACAACGCACGGAGATCAGCACTAAGCTTGAGCTGCACCCAGTGGTGTGTGCTATCAATAGCACCGTTGGCCGGTGGCCTTTAGTCTCCACGCTTTTCACTGTAATGACCATCAAATGACCCTTTGGGCATGAAACTCTAATGGTGCAAGCTCATAGCGTCGTAGCTGACGATGTTGCCTAACTGCCCAAGTCACCAAGCTCGGCTTTTTTTTGGTGAGCAGCTAGTGCAAGCGGTTTGGTGGCCTTCTGGCCATAGAATCCTATTACGAGACTCTAGACTAACAGCAGGATGGGATGTCCCTTTCGGAGTGAGTGAGTCCATCGACTGGGCAGTGAGGTCGGTCCATCTGGGGGACCCGACAAGACTTGAACACTTGAAGTGACTGGGCACAGCAGATCAAAAGGATCGCGGAAGCAATCGCGGAAGCAATGCGGAGCATGCTGGATGAACACACGATATTTGGACACTTTCCATGGTAGTTCATGGCACATGATGAATCCACCGACGTGGCATCCGCTTCGTGGCATCCGCTCCTTGAGGCGGATGCCGCCAACTACGACGACTGGAACGAGCTCTTCGCCGAGCCGTTGCGCATGGCCGAGTGCTTGCGCTTGGAAGATGGCACCAGGTGACACGCATGGTGAAGCAGAAGTGACCGGTGAGCGGAGGGAGTGGGTGACACCAGTTTGACTCCGACTTCCGAAGGTATGGGAAGTCTGAGGGCACTCCGACCGCTTCGTTTCACGACGATCACACATGGGGATGAATGGGGGGATGGCACGGATTGAAGGGAAGAACGGGTGTCGTCGCTGCCCGGAACCCGCCCACGTCCGGAGGCTCTTCGACCTTCCCCATCAGCATCGCTTTGCGGCCTTGCATCGGGTGAACTGGCGACGGGCCTTGGCCGCCAACATGGTCAAGACGCATCGCGAGGCGCGCCAGGGCGGGGCCGACACCCGCGCGGTTGGTGGTGGTGGGCGACGGGGCTGGTAGATGACTGGCCTTTGTTCCAAGAGTTCCACCACTTTTTTGCCCTTTGAACGTTTTTTTTTTTGGGGGGGTGGGCTATAGGATGCAACATGGCATGTTGTAATGTCACTCGTCGGCTGTGGCGTAGTCGCAATTTATGGTCAGTCGTATAGTACATATATAGAGGTGGTCATCGTTGTCGGTGCTTTAACCGGTTCAATGGCAGGTACTGCGGCTGTTGAGAATGGGAGTGGTTCACAACAAATCAACATTTAAGTTGATTCTGTGTGCGTTTGATGTGCGCCTGCTTGACGGACTGATCGCGAACGGACGGACTGATCGCCTTGATGTGCGGGTACCGGGTAGACGACATCAGGTGCACTCCCTTTGGGGCGTGTTCGCCAGCATCCATCGAGTGATCTTATTGCATGCCGTGCTCTTTTTGCTCTTGCTCCTCATCGCGGTGGTTGGGCGGCCGAGCCGAACCAGTCGGTCGCGTGGTTTTATGTGTCTAGACTGTTTGAGCTTGTTTGTGGTGGTTGGAAGGTCACATGTCCTCAATTGCCACCAGTCTAGAAGGCACCATGACGTATGAACCCAGAACTTCCATCACTCATCTTATCCACCTGGCAAAGTATGACAATCACCGTCACTTTGGACTCGAACGCCTCGAACGCCTCGACCCGTCCGAGGAGAATGAGCTGCCGTCCATGACCTCCGCCGTCGGCTTCATCGGGTCGGACGCCCGTCGAGAGCGTCGGACCGCGCTGAGCTGTGCCGGTCACCGGTCGAGCCGGTCGGTCCAGGGGCAAGAAGGCCACGCGCTTTGCGATCCTGGGTTTGGTGGCCCGACACTTGGATGGATCAATTAGGTATTGGAAGTGAAGATGGAGAACCAGTGAGATGCTCATTTTGCGATCATTGCCTAAGAGAGAAAAACGCGACATTTGAGTGGCAAGAGCATCGCATGTTTCTTTCCTCCCGCAGTCTTTGGGGTTTCAGCGCGAACGCCATGGAGCAGGATGCGGAGACCTTTCGTCCAGCCAAGCGGCTGAAAGCCGCCTTGGCACCCAATGTCTTCGCGCAGTTCACCGCGCTGGCCAAGCAGCACGGCGCGGCGAATTTGGGTCAAGGATTTCCCTCCTTTGGAAGTCCCAGATTTCTCCAAGATGCTGTGATGAAGGCGATGCAGGGGGATGTCTTTGCCACCACTGGAGCGCCAGAATCCTTGGGAAATCAATATACTCGGCCCGGTGGTGAGCCCAACTTAGCCGAGACCCTGGCACGATTGTATGGGCCTCGCTTCAATCGTACCTTGGATCCTTTGAAAGAGATCGTCACCACCATTGGTGCGCAGGAAGCCATTTTCACCAGCCTCTTCTCGTGGACCGACCCAGGGGATGAAGTGCTCCTCTTCACTCCTTGCTTCGACGCCGTGGTGCGATCTGCGTCCACCTTGCAAGTGAAGTTGATTGGTGTGAACCTGCGACCGCCATGTGACGGCTCCACTGCCAGCTTGAAGGATTGGTCGGTGAATATGGAGGAGCTGGAACGAAGCATTACGCCCCAGACGCGGATCTTGATGTTCAACACCCCCTCGGCGCCCTTCGGAAAGGTCTTCCGGCAGGAAGAGCTCGAAGCCATTGCGGAGGTGGTGAGGCGTCATCCCAGAATACTGGTCATCTCTGATGAGGCCAGAATCGTCCAAAGAGGTTGGGTGCTCTGTGCATGTCAACTCGACAAGTGGGTGGGCAAGAGTTGAAACTGGTCATGAGGGTGGTTGAAACTGGCTCAAATCCCTGTAAATTCCAGGATCCTGGCCCGGGGAGTCCAGTCGACTATTACTATAGTATCTATAGTGAGCTGAAAAGGACCTTCCTTTGGGTTGTGGGCCGAAATACAGTCCTTGGACTTCGGGGCTTTATACTTTTATGATACAGTGACAAGGCACGAGAGGAGTTTGTCGAGCTTTTGGGAGGGTGCTGGTGCCAAATGGTGCCAACGTTCCCCTGGTGTGTGAGGTCTATGAGAGATGTGTTTACGACAACGTCTCACATTTCCACTTTGCTTCCTTACCTGGGATGTTCGAGCGCACCATGACGCTCTTCAGTGTGGGGAAAACCTTTTCATGCACCGGCTGGCGCGTGGGATGCTCAAGCGAGTAAACTCAGAGAGGCTTCTGTCTTTCCATTGTTTTTTGAAATATTGTTTTGTTTTTTTTTCCCGTGTCACTGTTTGTTTCGTGCTTGTTTTCACAACAGACGGCCGCAAGTCAGGGCAACAGGGCCCAGGTTATATAGCCTCACGCACAGAAAGAGGGATGTACCAAACCAAACTGAGACATTCCAAGCAGGAGAAATTGCGACCCCGAAACGAGGATACATTATTGCACCTTCATCTTTGGCGGCCCCGCTGCTGGCCAGCCACACTGCAGTGAACTTTTGTGCACCGACCCCTTTGCAAAAGGCGAGTGCTGCAGCCTTTGATCAGGCAGAGAAAGAGGGCTATTTCGAGTGGTTCCCCAAGATGATGCAGGAGAAGCGCGATTTTTTGGTGAAGGTTTTGCAGGAGGTGGGCCTAAAACCCTTAGTACCTGAAGGCGGATATTTCATCATTTGCGATGCTACCATCTTCTTGGAGGCTGCCCACATCGACGACGACCACGTGTCGGCGGAGACGCCCTTAGACGAGCGACCCGATGTGAAGGTCTGTAAATGGATGACTGAGAAGGTGGGTGTGACGGCCATTCCCGTCAGCCCCTTCTACTTGCCAGAGTCTCGTCATTACGCGAACCGGCTGGTGCGCTTGGCCTTTTGCAAGGATGAGGCCACCATGTCCTTGGCGGCCGAACGACTCAAGCAGTGGCATGTCAATCATGCAGAGAAGACATCTGTGTGAGCATTACCTTCTAGACTACTAGTAAGGCACTTGTTACTCGAAGCGATGCGCTTGTTTCTAATAGCTTCTTGTTACTAGTAAGGCACCTGTTACTACTAGCAACTCTAGCATTCCTTTTAGCTTTCTAATACTATGAATGTGCGGTTCACGCAGCAACGATGAACGTTGTGCGATATCTTTTGCCAATGCCAACGGGTAAGTGGCCATTCCAGCCAACTTGTGAGCCCTTCATCCCAATGTGGATATGGCGTTCTCACCGTATCTTTCGCAACTCAAATAAGCTCGCGAGGGGTCAGTTCTATCCCTGACGGACCGACCCAACCGCTTCCCACCGGGACCGACCCTACGAGCCGAACGCCCAGGTTCCACCCTACGGCTTCGCGCTGCTCTACTCGCGCTGGGAGGTCAGTGTCACGTCGGCGACGTCGGCGTCTGACCCCAACAAGCGACCTCGTCGACCGTCCAGGTCACTGGCGCGGCACGACGGATACAGAACTGCACTCCCAGGCGAGATGTGATGAGATGAGACTTTCCTGCGAGTCAGGGTGGTTTGGAGATGTCTAACTTGACAAACCAGGGGGGGGCCCTGGTTTGGGGTGGTGAATGGACACCTCGAAGCACCGATAAATAAAGGGCTCTCAAAAATAACACCCCACGTTTCGGGGGCCCTTGTTATGCCATGATGTTTTTGTGCATAACGCCTGCGCACCACTTGCAAGTCAGAGCCGCCAGGGAGATTTGCAGACTCTTGCATCACACAACGTGGTCATTGATGTCCAGCCGGCGTGATTGTCCGGAGAACGTGATTGATGTCTAGCGACACACCATGGCAGGTGGTGTGTGCCTGCGGTCACCTATGTGATCATCCGTGTGGTGGAACACCGTGAAGAAACGCAAGAGCCCAAGTGGCAAACCAAGATCCGTGTTTTGCCTCCAGAGAACTTGTAGCGTCCGTGTTACCTGGAGACTAGTAATGCCATGTAATGCCAGGAGCTACGTTCGCGTCCTTGTTACCAAACTCCTCCCAGGTACGACTCGCAAATGGGGCTCTTTTCCATCCTGGTGATCCACTACGTGGTCCGGGCCCTTCCTTGCGCACGACGCCTTCGCAGCGGCCTGTTTGCGGCGTACCGGGTACGTACTGAGGTCTCTGCCATTGGGATTGGCATTGGGCTCTTCTATCCCATTTGGGATTCCGATGCCATTTGGCCCTTGACCCGAGCCGCCCGGTGGCACATTGAAAAACCAAGACCCGCCTGCCGCAAAAACGCCTTCTTGCATACACCTTTCTTTGCGGCCAGGTGTCGGTCCTCACGCAGTTCTCAAGATTTGTTTTTTGGGTCTGGCTCTCAGATTTGTGACTGATCTTCCTTGGATGCTGATGTATGACTCTTGGCTCGCTCAGGGACTGGTGCTCATGGTGAAGTGCGTGCTGGCCTACTATGGTGTGCCCATCCTTTTGGCTGCACGTATCAAGAAGTTGTTCGTGCACACCAAGTCCTTTTTGAACAAAACGTTTGATCCTCACAGGCCTCATCTCCAAAATGTTGCGCTCCGTCAGCAAACTTCGCCTGAGCCGCGACCCCGTGCCGACCGACGTCCGGCACCGGCTCACCGGCTCGGCACGGCACCGGGCCGTTCGAGGTCAATACTCCTCTTCCCATGTCTTCGCTCAAGCCGTCGCCGGCTCAGAGATGGTGATTCCGTGTGCCGTTTTTGGGCTTTTGTTGAATGTCCATTTGGACAACATGGCATATGGCAGCTAGCTGTCACGATTCTTGAACATTCGCGTCGAAGCCTGTAAAGATCGAAGATGCTAGGGATGGCGTGGCCTTCTTCTCAATGCACCTCTCAGTCGAGATTTTGTGGAGGAATGTGGAATCTGGGGTGCTGCCGACGCGCTTCCCCTCTTCCCCTTCGACCGGGACCAGGACCACCGCGGACGCGGTGGGCCGAAGCCGTCGCGCCAGGTGCGGCATTTTTCCTCTTCTTCGCCGACACGCCACTGGGATCAACAGCACGCGCGGAGTGGCTGGTCGCAGAGCTGCGCGGCAGAGCGGTGTGGATGGTGTCCTTCTTGGCCCGATCGCTGCGCGTGTCAGGCTGCTGTGGTTCATCCTGGGCTGCACGATCTTGGGCAGCTTCCCTAGATGTATACAATGCAGAAGTAGGACTCCTCCAACTCCTCCAAGTTCTTTTCTTTTGTACCGTGCCGGTCTCCCGATTCGAAAACACACCCCAAATGCACTGTATATCTACTGTACGTGTGCTTTGCTCCCAAGCTTTGACTTGGTGCACTGACTTTCGGCCAAGGTGTCGGGTATGTCTTCGTACAGAGACGTGGTCGAATCCGAAGCTTCGTTTGTGAGGAGGGTGTTTTCATGTGATTTCTCTGCTTTCAGAGGCGCAGAACTGGAACCAGGTTTTCTGAGAACACAGCGGTCTGTGTGCTTTGAGGCCTTTGGTGCACATTCACTGGCTCGATGGGTGGAACGTCGCGTTGAGATGCCTGCATGTGACGGTGTCATGTGACATGTGGCTTCATGTGAAGTCTATAGACATCTTCAAAGAGATTAACAAATGTTGCCATGGCCGTTTCTGGCAAAGAACTGATAAGGTCCCCACTGTTCCGAACAGGAGCCAGTCATAACCAGTCTATTTCAACAACCGTACAGCAAAGTGGAGAATATGAAGAGCTCGGCCAGCTGCAACGCCATCCACCCAAACCAACCAACACCTACTGTTTCCCTGTTTCCAATCGGAAGTCCTGAGCTCAATTCGTTTCCACGGCGGCGAGTCCCCACGAGTCCGTGCTTTTTGGGGAGCAGGCGCGGCTGCATGATGCAAATAGCAGAGCAGGCTTGGGATGCAATTTTGTTCACCTGTCCGACAGGCGCCTGGTGATGGTTTGCAATGATAGCAGCGACGATGATGTCGAGTCTATTTGCATGTCCAAGTCTACAGAACGCAAAGGAAGCAAATACGAGGAGATCAAGAGCCTTCCGCAAGCGCGCTTTGTCAATGTCACATCCCGCCACCCAAAGGTTTGGATGCAACTTGCTGTTTCACTGCCAACTTCCATGATGTCCTGCCGCCGCAGGAGCTTGAACTGTTGACAGGCCGACCTCTGTACACTTTGACGGACTGTGCTGGTCGAAGTTCGGGCCGTCTTCGCACCTCTTGGTCCACTAGGAGCAAGGACGCTACGTTCGGGGCTCCTGGCCTTGCTACTAGGGGCAAGTAGCTACTAGTAACAAGATTCTCAAAAAACTGCCTCCTCTCGGGGAAACCTTCAGGCAATGGCCACGCTCCTCAGCCCAGCCCCATGGGCCAGGCGACGGGGGGAGGACCGTTCCAGCCGGAGATTCTTGGCGCAGCGTTACTGTTTGTCTGTGCTGCGCCAAGAATATATTTACTATGTACTAGTCTAGGATATATATATATATATATACCAGCACCCTCCAACAGGTGCTTCCTGGTGACAACAGGCGCCCAGAAACCACCTGTTAGGCCTCCAAACAGCCTGTTGGAGAGTCCTGGTATATAGAATATATATACATATAACACAACAAACCAACAAATTTAAGTTTTATAAACAATCATATCGACTGACCAGCACCATCAAAACGGGTCTCCAATGGAGTAGCCTACACGACTTGTGAATCTCCATTGGACATCCCTTTGAAAGGTCCCTAATATATACATAATACATTTCATATATATATATATTATATACATCTATCATCTCTACCAGCTCTTCTGTCTTTTTTCATTTTTTGTTGCCTGGGGAGGCGATTGCCAAGAGCATTTGGGAATGGCGTATTTGCTTGGCCATCGGCTGGCCTTTGCTGGCTGTGCTCATGGCACCCTTTGCATACATGATGGCTACTCGACGTCCAAGGCCGAGGCGTCCGAGATGGGAACGTTAGACTGCACACGTTTCGCCGAAAGGGGACGTGGTTGTGAGCGAACAAGAATATGAACCGGAACTTCGGCATGGACAGATCAACGCTCAAAAGCATCGCCGTCGCCGAAAAAGACCGCCGACGTCTTCACATGATCGCATAATCTCAACAGGACTCTTTTCGTAGAATGCGGAGGAGTCGCCCATCGATCGAGGGGCTTTGCAGATTTGGGTGCTCCCGAGGTTTTTCCTGACCTTTCTTCTACGCGTACCTTCTCCCTTTATTTGGAACGAAGATTTGTTCCATATTGTTCCATCAACCCCCAAAAAGGTGAAAAATTGGGGAAACACAACACATTCCTCCTCTTTTTCCACCCAGCACGCATCATTTGCCCTGTGCCAGCCCGTTCGGGGCCGGGCGAACCACCACGCCAAGGTGATCAACGCCCTACCGCTGCCCAAGAACCCGCCCCATGGCACTCCCTCGGCCCTGGCGGAGGAACTCTTCGAGGCACGGACTCGGAGCGGACTCCGCTCCGCGCGGCGGAGCGGTGCGTGTGCGACGTGCCGCCGTTCCGGTCATCCTTTCATCCTTTTGGATGGTTTTCTTCTTCTTTTTCACATCCAATGAGAGTCCAGGAAGGAGAAAAGGAACGAAGAGATTCACGGTTCGGATCTCCGATGTTCATCGTAAGGGAGATGTGACTTCCGAACGACGTGCCACTAACAGTCGACCTTGATGTGTTAGCTTCACTTCTCGTGTCACGGACTTTGGCCACCGTCTAGCCGTCTAGCCGACCACGAGGCGAAATTTCCCTACTTGGTGGGGATGAAGATGGAAATGGTGCTCATCAAGCTGCTTCTTCTGCAACGAGTCTCGCTCGCTCGCTCCGCGCTCTTCCCGCGCTCTTCACGTGCCTTTGTCCCGCTGAGGTGCCGGGCGCCCTGTGAGAGTGCCGTGTCCTCCGTGAGCAAGTCACACGTGGAGATTCTGAAGGACCGCTTTGAAGGTCAAATCGCATGGTTTGGACCTCATTTCGGGTGGTTTGCTGCAGCCAGGCGACATGTTTGGAAACAAGAAGCTCCGTATAATCAATTCAACAATGTTTTTTTTTGGCCAAGTGATCTGAATTCGCCAGGACATGGTTTTGCGCTTTGGGCATGAGTACCCAGGGACGATTATAGACATTCGTTCCTACTACACGTTCGGGACGAAGATCGATGACAATCCAATGCTATCCTTCGACAAGCAAAGCATCCTCTTTGTTTGGAGCATCGTGGCTGAAGTGACATGAACACACCAAGCTCTTCTGGTAACTGTGGTTTGTTTTTAGCCCGAGTGGCCCTGCCTCTTTACTTGACTAAGTAGGCGCCTGCTTAAGGCTTAATTGAGGGACACTAGTTCGCTACTAGCAATACTTAAGCTTCTATAGCAACATATTTTGGGACACTCCATTTACATGAAGACTTGAGTCTTCCGAGACTCCTTGAGGTTGGCGTGTCAATGGGACGATGAAGCTAGAAGCGCAGGATTTTGCACGTCAGATAACGAGAATGTGTGACTCCTTGCGTCTGGGACGGGATGAAAGTGTCTGAACGACTTTCAGACTTTCCGGTGTGTTCAATGGCCTCGATTAAGAAAAGAAACGACAAAACACTTTAAAGAATCAATAGCCATAGCCTCCAACCTAAGAGCGATGGCCTTGGTCCCTTTCAGACTTTCAGACGTTCAAAAGGAACGCTCGCTGAAACGAACATCGAACTGCGCGACTCGACCGACGACCTGACTCTCTACCTCCCTAGCCTCCGCCTCCGCTCCTTCTCTTCCGAAGGCTCGGAAGAGCGTCCGACCCGAGGAACGAGCAACTGGATGATGGGCCTCTCAGCTACCAGCTGGCTGCCACCGGTCCCACTTTTCTCAATGTGGCCATGAAGGAGACCGTCCTTCACGAGGCCCGGACCCGGTGGTCCGAAGGAAGACGGAACCGGTCGGTTCGGAACGGTAGCTGAGGTGCCGATCCATGAGATAGAGACGCTCTGGCTGCCCTTCGGTATTTTGGCATATCGTCTTCAAAGTGCGAGGCTCTTGCTCCTGGCACTGTGCTCCATGCCCGTGTCCATTCTCATCTCTTTTGGCTTCATGTGCCTCAGAATGATTATAGGAACAGCTGAAGAGAACCGACAACGCAGTGGTGGGACTTGAGCTGAAGACCTTGTCAGACCCCCTTTCTTCCATTGACTTCCTTGACCATTAGCATATTATATAATATATATATATATACAGGTACTTCGTTTCGACCCAGCTGCCGGTGATCCTGTATGCGCTCGTGATGATGCTGATGCTTTGCACTGCTCTGTCTTTTGACTACTCGCTCTTTACCATGACAAGATACGGAGAAGAGCGAAGAAAGGGTACCAGCCTAGAAGATGCCATCGTGGCTTGGAAGGAACATGTCTTCGCCGGACGACCGAGCGGATGACGGATGCTTCACTCAGTTAGCCCTTTTTCACATATATATATATATATGTATATGTACATGCACATATATACAATATATCTTCCAACTACGCAACAAATGTGGCCTTTGGCTGGTCTTTTAGATGAAAGAGGCAGAACCATGTCTGCACAGGTATAATATATTATGTATAATGCTCACCCCCCGGCCCCATGATCTCCTTTTCCTGCATTTCAGGCTCTTCTACCTTTTCCTGGTGTGTGTGTGTGCATATATTCTTGCAGAGTGGCCTTGTTCCTGGAACATCTGAGGCCATTGTGATCACACAAAGTGGTCATGTGGTGGTTGTGTCTGGCCTTGTGCTTACCATTGCCTATGGCTCCCTGCTAGTGCTTCCAGGCGTGTCATTTTGGCGGTTTTTCAATCGCGGTGTTTCAGTTGATCACGCAGATAGCATTGTGCACTGTTCGCGGTTCCGCTGGTTCCCAGGTGCCTTCAAGAGCTTTTGCATTGCTGCTTGCAGCATGATCCTGTGCCCTGGGCCGCGTTTGGCAACTGCGGCCACGAGAGAACCCAAAGTCATCAGTTAAAGATGGTGAAGCTATTGAAAACAGCATGTTTAGATAACCCAGGGAAGGCATTGATGGTGCCGATGCATCATGCACACTTCGGATGGTTTCAACATGTTGTGCAACAGCCAGCTGCACCAAAACTGCGGCGTTTTCACCAGGAGCCACGTGTCGAGGTGGCCTTTAGTCGGGCACCCCGACTTCCTCCAAGTTCGGCACCCCGACATGTGACTCCTGGCAGGGTGTTTTTCATTTCGATGTTCCAATGTCCAGGAGCTCCGAACGTAGCGTCCATGGTCTGTTTGGTCCGTGGTTTTGCAGCCAGGTGTTGCATTGGTGTTCAGATGACTTTTGTGCCGTGCCTCTTGGGGATCTTCCCATGGCTGGGCGCTGGCTTTGACGTGGTTTCTCCCGAGGAAGAAGCTGATGAAGGGGATGCTTCGTGGACCGCACTGGGGTGGACTAAAGTCGTTAGGCTTGAGCAAATGTCACCGGCGACTGAACACAAAGCTCCCAACTTCGCCAGGTCTTTGTTTGGGCCCAGACAGATAGCTGAAAGATATGATATGGGGGTTCTGACTTCTCAATGACTGGGTGGCTGAATTGCGTTTTGTTTCCTTGTCTCCCCGGTTGTTTGCCTGCGTGATCGGCGTTTTGTTTGCTGCTGCTTGCGGCCTTGTCTCCTTTCTTCTCTCCCTATTTGTCTCCCGGACTGGTCTCCACTAGCTGTGAAGACCAGATCGGCCCTGCCATGTCCCGGGGTGAACTCGGAGGGGTTCTTGTGTGTTGGGGTGCACGCAAAGAGTTAGTTGCTGTTTGGGGTGGACTGAGTCTGGGTGATTTTCATGGGGAACCTCCCAAAAGACCTGAAGTGGAAAATAGACACCCACCAGTGGCAAACACCCATGTCTTGCTAAGGAGGAGGAAGAGGAAGATATTGGCCATGAGGAGCTGGAGGAAGACACCCCGGCCACGCGAAATTCGCAGCTTGGTCTAACTTGCCTCACTGGCCCGATCAGCTTCCAAGCAGAATGCCGAACCCGAAGAACCACCAGACCAGCTCCACACTCGACGATGCTGAGGTTGCGGCATGTGCGTGTCTTTCGCAAGGGCATCTACTACAGGGTCGGAGGGAAACTGACCCAGTGCCCGCTGAAGCTCGGCCCGAAGCTCCCCGACGGCTAACACGCAGCGTGTTGGCGCCCGTCCGGACGTCCCGCCCAGGTCCGAAGCCGTCCGAAGCCGTCGGCCGCGTCGAAGTGGACTCCAGGAACATTTTGGTACCCATCGCCATCTATGCTGTGACATCTCCATTGACCTATCGCGTTCTGAGGCGCTGGACGTCAAGGAAAACACCACTCGTCAAACCGCGCGTGACTCGCTTTACGCGAAAACGCGCGTGTCTTCGTATAAACTCGGCGTTGGGAGGTATCAAATGGGCCACGCCTATGAGCTTCAAATCCCTCGTGGGAAGAAAGAGTGGGAAACCTCGCTGAGCATCCAACAGGATTTTCCCACCAGTGTGGGATGCGCCTTCGGCAGCATCAACAAAAACATAAATAGTTAAACTATGATCTTCATATATTAATATATATTATATATATATTTATTTATTTATATTATATATATAATATATTTATTTATTGAAATAGTCTAAGTCTATAGGGTCGTTTTCCACCACGTCTTGACTCCAAACAGCTCTTGGGTCTCTTACCACTGGCACCTCTGAGGTATGATGCCCACCTTGATCATTGCCACCAGCAAACTTCCAGATGAAGATCTCTTCACGACCACCTTGCCACCGCTCCCCGTTTTGCCCAGCGAAGGCCTTGTGGTGCACCCTGCGCCGGGGAGGACGCCTGCGCCGGGGACGACGACGCCCAGTGCACCGAGCACCCAAATCCGGAGGCTCAACGAGACGGCAGCTCGGATGCCTTGTGCCATGCTGACTCGAACTCCTACAGGTTTGAACTGACCTCATGAGTTGAAGAAAGCACCTCGAAAAATGAAGTAAAGGACCCATAGGTTTTGTATAATCCTTTGCTTGGTCTTGGGACCTGTGGGGACAACTCTCCAACGACGTCACGAAATCAGTCACCACTGTCGTCACGAATGCCGACTCACCGGCCTGAGGCCGCCGTGGTCACGGTGCCCACGCCGGCGCCGAAGGTCGCAGAGGCGCCGAAGGTCGCGGGGGGAGGCGAGTGAAAAGATGCCGATCCCGGACATCACCTCAGAGGCCGGGAGACATCCAGGAGTTTTTCATCAGAAATCCTGGAGCAAATCCACGGGTTTTGAATTCTTGATGTGAAGAGTTCTTGGATGTTTGATGAGTGGTTCTGTCATGTCGCATGGAATACTTCGTGAAGCTGCTGGCTCAGAGCGGCAGGAGCCTTTGGATGTGAGGGGTCAAGCGTTCTTCAACGAGAACTGCGACATGGTGAACCGGCTCATCCAGATGTCTCGGAATGAGACCTTCGCGCTGGCGTCGAAGGACTTTCAAAGCCCCACCTTCTATGGCGAGCTGAAGAATGGGGATGTGAAATGCCTGAACTACAAACTGACGCACTACTACCGCCCGGACCCCAGCGGGGTCACCTTCCAAAAACGAGAAACACACCGCCAAGCACGAACGTCGGGCGACGTCGGGCGACGTGGACGGCGGACGGTGGCCGAGGTGAGAACTTCTTTGCAAAGAGGTTCATGTCCACCTCCAGGTCCGACAGAGACCGGGCTCGCGACGCCACCGCTCCGACCTTTCCGTTTGAGTTTGCCAACGGATCCCGTTGGCACCCGGCGGTCCCAAACACATCGTTCTTGGCCCGGTTTTGGTACCAGGCTGATGCAAAAGTTGTGGGACCAGTTGGTGAATGCCAAGCACGACTCCATGCTCACGCTTCTCACGCCCAAAATGGACCCCTTCAGTGAAGAGGCCTTTCGCATGACTTCAGCCCCTCGGCCAGCCCTGGCCATGAATTTGACAAGAGCCGCGGTGAACTCTGAAGACTGACGCTAATTGGGCCTCACATGGCCTCCCCATGTCCTTCTCGATCCAAGGAGATCCGCTCGACACTGCATAATGCCAGTGTTGATTCCAGGCGGGGGTTCAGCACTCATGGCATGTCGAAGTGGAAACCAGCCGCTGGTAGAGGAAACGGTCATAGGGATTTCCACCAAATTTGGGCCGTAGCTCCCTCTAGCACCTGGGGCTTGAACTGGGGGGAACACCACCAAAAAAACCTTGAACTCCCCATCCGCCCAGAGAGAGAGAGAGAGATCAACAAACATACACCACTTTCTACACCACTTTTTGGGTTCGTCGGTTTCCCAAGAAAACAAGCCGTCGCCGTCGCTTGGTCCGACTCCCTCGCGGTGCAGGGAGAGCGGCTTCGGCGCCATCACGTACATGATGTTCTCACCCAGCGCGATCATGATGGCCACTTGGGCAAGGTGTACCGCATATCTGAGCATACCAGAGATCTTCCAACTACGCAGCATGCCTGGCGCCTTTGGGCCAGTATTTCAAATGAAACGGCAGAATGTTTTACACAGTTGAAAGATCCAATTGGGCATCATTTAGGTCCGGTATTGCTGAACACAATTCGTTCCATGAGGCATTGTTCACATTCCCCCACTGCCTTGCATGTGTTGAACACCTACGCTTCAGGACGTCAGATCCAGGTGAAGTCAACCGTTTTTGTTCGCACTTCCGGGTGAAGAAGATCCGACCCGCCCAGGAAGCCGGCACCGCGCTCCCGAGTCCTCGCGACGCTCGCTCCCCAAGGACATGATCAAATTCACCCACGATCGGCTCTTTGTCGCCTTTCTGGGTTGTGCCATCGTTTGCTGCTGGGCAGACGAGAGGGAGGGCCAGGAGGGGTAGTATGCGCCGTTCTTCGCTGAATCAGACTTAAGGCAGTTCTGAAGATCAGCGATGGTCCGAAGATCTCTTAGGTTCTTTTTCTCTTAGGCTCTTTAGATCTTTTTCCTGGTCGCTTCCGACCAAGGCTTCGTGCTCATCGCCGTGGCCTTTCATGCTTGGCCCCTCGGCCGGTGAGACATCCCGATGCAGATGGAAAAGAGAATCACGAAGCATTTTCGCTGAAAGCACCGCATGTGTTTGGTCCTCTTTTTCCCGAATGCGTAGCGAAGGGTTCTCGTTTAACTCTGGGGGGTCTGAGGGTATAGAGCCTTGTTCGCGACCCGTTGTTTCTATGTTCGCAACCGTCCGCAACCGTCCGCAGTAGAGCGCTAAGGCGCTGCCATTGGGGGAAGCTTTTGGAAAGGGTTTCGGATGAAAACGTGACGTGTCAGATTCGTCTGAAATAGCGAGGAATCGTGTGGAAATGTAAGATGTTGAAGTGTGGAGGATGATTTCACTGCGCAGGTGCAGCGTTTTGTGAGATCCGCAGTTTGCTGGGCAGTTCCATTGGGATTAGCGTTTGGAGAGTCGTGTTTTTGGGGTGTTGGATGTGGCCGTGCCATTGGGATTTGCGTTTCAGGGTGTGGCATCGAAGCTCTGTTTTCGTGACAAGTCTCAGCTGAAATGGCGACTTTGGTGGGTGGGAGTGTGCTGAGAACGGGTCGAAATCATTCCAAGCGTGTGGTGTGGTGCAAATCTTGTTGACGCTCACATGAGATATCATGAGATGATATTGTCACTTTTCGTGGCAGGCGCAGTACTGTGTGCGGGTTTTGAGGTGTGGAAGTGCGATTTTCGTGGCAGGCGCAGGGAATCGTGAGGTTGTGAGGTGTGACGGAGGTCACATTTCGTGGCAGGCGCAGTACTTTGTGCGCGTTAGACGTGTGGACGCGGAAAGATTTGTGGCAGGCGCAGGCAATCGCGAGGTTGTGAGTTGTGGTGGATGTGACTGTCGCTGTCACATTGGGATTGGCGTGTGCGCGGGTGTTGTTTGGAGGGGCTGGAATCGCGAAACTGCATGGCAGGGCTGCGTGATGTGTGTGCTCCGATGGGTGTTTCCGCTTGACTTTTGCAGGAAGTCTCGTACGAAACGCTCGTTTTGCAGGCTTTGACATGTGAGTTTTTGAGGAAATTTCGAACGAAACGCTCGTTTTGGAGACTTGACGTGTGACTTTTGGAGGAAGTCTCGTACGAAGCGCTCGTCTTGCAGCCTCGAAGCGTGTGTCCTACAAGAGTGTCCCAGATAGAGTGTCCCACAAGAGTGTCCCGTATGAGTGTCCCACAAGAGTGTCTCACAAGAGTGTCCCTTAAGAGTGTCCCATAAGAGTGTCCCACAAGAGTTTCCTACAAGAGTGTCCCACAAGAGTTTCTTACAAGAGTGTCCCACAAGAGTGTCCTACAAGAGTGTCCCGCAAGAGTGTCCCACAGGAGTTTCTTACAAGAGTGTCGCACAAGAGTGTCCCGCAAGAGTGTCCCACAAGAGTGTCCCACAAGAGTGTCCTATAAGAGTGTCGCACAAGAGTGTCCCACAAGAGTGTCACACAAGAGTTTCTTACAAGAGTGTCCCACAAGAGTGTCCTACAAGAGTGTCCTACAAGAGTGTCCCACAAGAGTGTCCTACAAAAGTGCCGTGAGAGTGACTCACAAGAGTGTCCCACAAGAGTGTCCTACAAAAGTGCCGTGAGAGTGACTCACAAGAGTGTCCTTCAAGAGTGTCCTACAAGAGTGTCATTTGGACATATGTAGCTTTTCGAACGTGTTTGCATTCGGGTTCGTGGGTTCCACCTTTCTTTAATTTAAAGCCTAACGACGAAGTGCATGAAGTGATTAGAGAACAGGCTTTGAGAGGATCTGGATGTTCGGAGTTCTAGCTTCAAGCCATGCACTTTGTTGGAACGTTGTCCAGGAACTCCAGCCCCAAGAAAGGCCAACAGAGTGAGCCCTTGTGCTGCAGGCTCATCCCCTTCAAGTTGCTTTTCACTGTGATCTTGCCAATCACCTGGACGTATGGCGCTGCTTTGTGCTCTTGGCAGCAGTTTTTCATGTTGGCCCCGTTTGCCAATTCATACCTGTTCCAGTACCTGTTCCTTTGGCACGGAAGCCGTTCACTGTGTGGACGGGAAGGTCTAAGTGAGGAAAACTCTCTCTCTCTCGCTCTCTCTCCCTCTCTCTCTCTCTCTCTCTCTTGCGGCCGTTTTTTGGGTGCGGGCACTCGCATATCGGATCGGGATCTCATCACATTCTGCCGACATGGAGTGGTTTTTGGGTCAAATCTTCTCTTCCTCACCGGTGCTTCCAAAACCCGTCGAGGTATGTCTACGAGGACGGCGCCCTGGAGTGGCTGGGCTTTCCGGGCTTGTCGCCCACGTACATTACGAACAGTGGCCCTGCAGGCCTGGGGACGGGGGGTGACGCAAACTGGGGGACTTATGCGCAGTGTTCCAGAGTTTTGATCAGCTGTAGGCCTCATTTGGAAGACTTGGAGGACTCTGACATCTCCCAGAAACCATTGCTAAAAGCATTCTGGCAAGTGGCTTGTTCAGCGGCCGGTGTGCAGGTCTTGATTGGACGGTTCCGATGTTCACACTGACCATCATGCTGGGCCTGGCTTTAGACACTTGGATGCACCATCTTGGAAGGTTATTCCTTGCAAGTGTTTTCTAAGGAAGACTCAGGAACTTCTTGACGTATCTTCCAGATTTTGAGATGAACCAAAGCAGGTCTTTCAGACTGGTACGTCCCCACCAGTCACAGTCGGGTAAAAGATGATCTTGGAGAAAGGTTTCTAATAGCTTCTAGTTACTAATAGTAAGGCCCTTGCTCCTAGTAGCGATGCACTTGTTCCTAGTAGCTTAGGAATAGACTGCAACCTAACCGTCCAGGGTCCTGATTTTGTTCAAAATTTTTCCAGTGGTGTAGAGACCCCGCAAGTACGCAGGGTCTCCCCCTGCGACGCCAGGATTACGACGTCTTCCTCTTCGAGCGCGTCTGGGAATTCCGAGAAGAGGCGCGCAGAGCAGAGAGCGCGCTTAAAAGAAGCGCGCTGGGAGCGTGTTTTTCACGCTCTGGCGCGTGTTTTCTGCGGGTCCGCTGGTTGCTCCGCTGGAAATTAATTTTGCATCGAAAGTCTCCACCCCTCGATCTGGTACTCGTACAGTCAAGTCATCCAGGGCTGTAGCCTACCCCTTAAGAAGCAGGGCCCTCCACCTCCCTGGAGGGCTTTCTCTTTCCATCTTCTCCACCGGTCACCCGTCGTGCCCTCCACGGACCATTCAGGGCTTCGGAGACAACGAGTCCGTGCAGTTGGCTCTGTCTGCCACGGGGCCCACGATCACAGCTGCTGGTCTCATCTTCGCCTTTACGTTTGCCCCTCGGTTCCGCGCAGAACCAGCGAAGAGGGCGGCGACCGAACGACCGAACGACCGTCCGTTTTGGAGGTGCCGGGGCCGGAGCGATCCAAGCGGAGTCCACCGGTCGTTGGTGTTTGGTCGTTTGGTCGGAGTCCGGGTGAAAAGAGAGGGAGTATGAAGAACAGATTGAGAGGGGCAACCATTGGTCTCAAAGCGAACCCTGCTTGTTTGCTGTGTCGCATCCAAGTTGTCTCGCCCCTTTGCGCCGCGATATGACATGTTGTGGAGCCCAAGGGCATTCGCCCACGACCCAGACTCTCCAGGTCCATGTGAGTCATATGTCGCCCCAGCCTACCCCTCAAACCACCACCACCCCAACTGATCGGTAAATATGCCAGTCCCGTGGAGTGTCTGGGACAAAGCTTCTTGAACCTTCAGATGGTCAAGCGGCCAAAATTGGACACATCTTCAGTTGTCAACTTGAACTGAGACCAGCATGCTGCTTGGGAGCATGGCCATCACAAACCAGATGGGCTTTATTTTCATCTTCAGCATTGTGGTGGACACCTTTGTGGTACGAACCGTGCTCGTGCCTGCGATGCTCTCACTGAACCCACGCTTAAACTATTGGCCTTCCGACATGCCGGAGGTCAAGATTACTTGGCTCGGGAAATAACAAAAATGCTTTGGCTGCTCACTTGACTTGGCTGCTCACTTCTGAATGTTTTTTCTTGGAATTGCTGCAGTGCAGCAGCAGCACAACATCAGACGCCGATCCGCTGATCCCTTTCTGATCCAGGACAGCGTGTCAAAGATTCAACAGCGCTTTCCCGCGAAGGCTGTGCCCCGATGTTTTGCCATGTTGCGCACGGTTAGAGGAAGATTTGTTCGAAGACTGGCTGAGCACCCATGTCCATGTCCAATGAATCCATGTCCAAAACACGCGATTTGAATCGGGGAAGCGGGGGCAGGTCCTTCCCTACGCTCTTCAGGGGCCGGGTGGCCCCCCTTACGCCTTCTATGGCACGGGGCCGAGCACGGCAGAACAGAGAGGAGGACCATCAGGATCTGTCATTTGTCAGGTGAAAAAGGTGAGACTGCGACTGACGGCATTGGTCTGTGCCAAAAACCCAACAGGGTGGCAAGTTCTTGTTCGCTCTTTCCACCTGGGCCCAGAGAAGTACCACCAAACGTCTGCACGGGACATCCACGCTTTCCGCGCCGCGCTGTCCGGTCGCGGTTTCCCGAGGTGTTTGGGACCGCATCGTGGAGTTCCTGCGCTACGAGGGCAAGGTGTGGGAGAACTCCCTTCGATGCGAAACACCGTCACCAGCAAAGCTCCGCAGGTGACCAGCAGAGAGATTGGCGACCTCTCGTGCTCCTGACCATGATGGAAGAGAGAATAAGAGGACAGACTAGACACCTCTAAGAGGATGTTTGGAAGTTTCGTGTCCAAAGTCCTGATGATATTTTTTCATCTGCTATTCTGCTTGCTGCATCGAGGTACTGTTCTTCAGCGGATTCCAATGTTCAGTGGAAACAGCTGAACATGCCCCTACCGGGCATCGACCAAGGGAAGCGGGAGTCTCTCCGGAGGCCTCAGATCTTTCGAGGCACCCGATTGGTCAGAGACTGAGGACGGGACGAGAGGAGAGGCGGCGAAACCTCGCCCAAGACGAGCGATGCCACCTTGGTCGCTAAAAGGATTTTTGGGGGAGTGGGTATGACATGGGATGAATGTGCTTGCCATCAGGAAAATGGAGACTTGAGCTTATTAGTTCTTGAATTTATTCTTTAAAAGTGATCCCTTCCACTGCGAGCACGTCATACCTGGTGACCTACGTCTCGTAAATGGATGTGTTCTTCGTCTCTTCTTTCGACGGATCTGGGCGGTCACGAGGCCGAAAACCTCTTGCGGAAGTACACGAGCCAAGGACAACAAGGCGCCGCGAATCGGCCAGCGAATGAAGCGGCCAGCCATGCGAGCAAAGGACGCTGTTTCTTTTGGAGCCCATTGACTCAGTCCGACGTGGTCCTTGCCGGTGCCAGGCTGGCCCAACAACAGGGAGGCCAAGTGGCGCCTCCAGGCGCGACCGAAAAACGAGTGGCGACGGGTGTTTCGCGAACGGGAATCACTTGGGACAAAGGAATCTCCTCAAATTGCGTTTGTTCATCGAGAGTGGCGCGCACCCTTGTGCGGCTCTCGAGGAGAAGGAGTTTCATGAAAGACACATGCCGACACACCTCCTGTCATCGAGATTTCAGTGGTACATGAAGCAGGTTCGTCAGGTTTCTTTGGTGGCACATTGGCACCCTTCGGCGCCTCGCAAGGCCCTTGCACGAGGGCTGGGCCTACCACTGCCTGTGCCATATCGAGCCCCTTATGCAGGAGCCCCAACCACAGGGCGGTGTCGACAGTTGCTCCCATGAATTGTATTCTCAACTCACCTTGGCTACGACGTACAGAAGCTTGGAAACCAAAGGTTGAAGAGCTGTCACGAGCTGTCTCTACTTTAGCTGGCCGTAGGCTCGCTTAGAGACAATGATGCCAGCAAACTAGTGAGTCGGATTTAGATAGAATTTAAAGAGTCGTTGTAGGAAGACCATTCTAAAGAGATCTAAAGAGACCTTGTTGCTTGAACAAGGATTCTCTCTTCCGGTGGGTGCCAGTGCCTTCGAAACCCAGGTGCCGGGCCTCAGCGTTCTCATCCCGCACTACGGTGAATCCATCTTGGCGCCCTGGGCAGAAAGCGTCGCGCAGGAACCTGCGATTCCGCGCCAGGAAATGGATCGTGCTTCGGTCCAAAGCCTAAAAAGAAGACAATATATATATATATATAATACATATATATATTTCTGATAATACATATATACTCCGCTTGTGTGTTATTTTGGAAGTGAAACATGGTGGGAAGATCCATTCTCCTCAATTGTCCCTCTTCGTGAGGTCAGCCTAAAGGGTGTGCGTCTATGTGTTCACTCCACGAACGACTCCGAACTCGACGAACTCGACTCCGAACTCGTTCCGAAGAACAGTCGACGCAGAGAAAGCCGGGGACGAACAGCACCGCAGAGTTCTCCAACGTGCCGAGGCGGAGAAGCAGTTGGAGTTGTTGCGAGAGTTGGGGGGGACTGAGAAGAGAGGAAGATCGGAAACGCCAACGATCCAAGAAAGACCGAGGGTGGAAGTGTAGAAGACCATGTTCCTCTACAAGCTGGGTTTGGGGTTCCATGTGGACCTCTGCAGGGCAGCATTGATGGGAAGAGAAGTTGAACCGATCATTTAAATTCACAATGCCGGCCCTTTTCAGCATGTTATCGTCAAGCGTGATGAAAGCCACATCTCGCAAATTCAGTCCAATTTCCATGATCATGTTCTCATATTTCCTCCCAAAAACTGACACTGTTCTTGCATTGACCTCGTGCCACGAGATCCTCTCCGCAACATGGGCTCAGACGCAGCAATTTCAGCTTTGCCAGATTCATCCAATTGTGCCTCCATCGCCGCGAAATGGCTGCTCACAGGCCACAGGTGCCACAAGTGAAAGCGTTGATATGGAAGAACTACATCGAGGACTGCCACCAAACATGTGCACTCGACTGCACCACCATGCACCACCTGGAGCTGGTTTATGACTCTTCGACCCCCCCCAAAAGCTGTTTTTGCTATGTCACCATCCAAAGTGGGTGGTGGTAGGGCACTAGGAAACGAAGGGTCCAAACATGGGGCAATTCATGAGCTGAGACTAGACAGCAGACACGAAAGAACAAAAGAGAGGATCACCGGGCGATGTTCAGCAAGCCCACGGATTGTTGCCGACACACGAGCCTCAGCAACGACGATCGACCGCGGTTCCCGCTGGTTTGGGCTTTGTACGAAAACGAAACGAGCAGAGAACGAAGATCGGAACGAACTTCTCTTTTGAGCATGATTTCGTTGTAATAGCTTTTTGTTACTACTATAGTACGGCACTTGTTACGAACGAAGCGATGCACCTGTTCCTAACATAGCTTCTTATCTTCTTGTTACTACTAGTAAGGCACTTGATACGAACGAAGCGATGCACTTGTTCCTAATAGCTTCTTGTTACTACT